TTATCTCATTTTTCTTCAGATTAAGCCCAATGACTTGAAGGTAGCCACTTAATATGGACAACAAAAGATTAAATAATACTCAAAATTAATCCTAGTTAGATTATTTAATTTCTTTTTTTAAAGAATTTAGAAAAAAAATTAAAGATTGAACTAGCCATGAAATTTTACTTGATGGTATTCTGTTCATGGATTATATCATACTAAATAAGATAAATGGTGCCTATATAGAGTCTTAAATATTTACAAATATTAGAAAAGTCCAATATATATATATATATATATATTTTGGTCTTTCATATTGTAATAATCCATGCTATTAATATATTATGTTACTTATGAAACACTTGTAAGATGAATAAATGATATGTAAAATTATTTGTTTTAAATACAGAATTGATGAAAGTATTTAACCTATCATTATAGTTTAAACATCTTAGATTTAAAAAAACTCCTACAATTTTATTGATTTGCAATCTACATAATAAGATATTTTATTAAATTTTATTGCAAGAAATTTGCAATAGAAAGATTACACAAATAAATACACTAAAATCTACCCACAAGAACATCAAACACTATTCACAACAACTAATTTAGCCATAAGAGAATACTAATAAAATAGTCTTAGTTGCATCATAAAAAGATTTGCATAATTTAGTACAAAATAATATTTCTACAAAAACAAATTAATAAATCATATTGGTAGAAGTTTACAATATTATGGCCAAAAAATATTCAAATTTGGATAAACAAAGTTTTATAGCTGAAATAAAACATAGTAACAAACATAAGAAATAATAAGTTAAGTACAAATAAAAAAATGTTTATTATATATATGTATATAAAAACTAACTATCAAATCAAGCACAATATTGCACCATAAGTATAAACAAATAAAATGTGAGTATACTATGGAAAAAAATAAAAGATGGAGAAGATATGAAAAAGTGAAGGTATAGAATATAGAGTCAAAACAAAGATGAAAGCATAAATTGCAAAAAAAAGGAACAAAGTGCCAAAACTTATGATATTTTAAATACGAAAATTTCAATAAAAAGTAAAAAAATACAAAAATATTTTAATTGGTTATACTAATCCAAGTAAATATGAATAACAACAATTGGAACAGGCACAAACAAACTTTGGTAGAGGTATCACCATACAAATTTATAGTCAATTACAGAAGTAAAGTCAATTACAATATAGTAAATTAACAATATATTTTTAATTTTTAAATTTTCACCAAAAAAAAACATAAAAGTATGAAGCAATCAAAAAACACTATTTTTTTAATATTGGAGTTGTAATTAAATAACAAAATAGAATTTTATAAATAACAACATATTTAAACAAAAAATTATTTGGCAGAATAGGTGCTTTCAAAATCTCTAAAATCAAAAATAATAGGAAAAAATAACATTCTTGATTTATGATTTTGGTTAAATTCATTGATACTACACAATTCTAAGTGAATTAAATCTAGTGAATCACTAGGTGGACACCCCCCTCTTATTCTATAAACACTTCTTGTACCAAAAATTAACTAGTTTTGATTTTATATGAGATTTTTTATTTTTATTTGACATTGATGTATAAAAATAGTAATATAATTCTAATCTTATATTTTATTTATTATTCAAAAAATTAATTTTTCAAAGATTTGCAAAAACAAAAGAATTGAAGGTTGAAATAAAATAGAGCTATAGATTATACATGAATAAGGATATTTCAAAACTTAGTATTTATGTAATTAATGTAGCAAAATTTATGATTTAAAATCAATAATATTTACTTTTTGGCATGGAGAATGCTAATACAATAAAAAAAAAATGTCCACTTAACAATTTTCTAAAATTGATGTTCATTCATAATCTTAAGTTTATTCAAAATATATCAAAATATATTGTATGTTTTACACACACACACACACATATATATATATATATATATATATGTGTGTGTGTGTAGTTATCTTCAATTTGTAGTTTGAAAAATAAAAATAAAAATAAACTATCTAATCTTTTAAAAAATAAAGTTTTAATAAATTTATTTATTGATTTTTTTAAACAATTAAAATTTTTGTAAATTTTACCTTAATTAAAGTTCTAAAGAGTATTAAATATAATAAAAAATATATAGAGAGATATATATGTTTTATAATTTTATATGATATAATATATTATATATATAATTTTAAAATAAAAAACAAAAACTATAATTAAAATATATTTATTATATTAGATCTAATTTAAATAGAACAAATTTATGAAAAACAAAACAAACAAGATTCATAGTCAAATTAACAAAAGTAACAATGGCCTTAGTTTTCATTTGAATAATTTACTCATAATGCTAAGAGATCGTTTAAAATTATAGTAATTTCATTACATAATTTATCAAAAAGTTTTGAACTTTTAATTATAAAGTAATTAAGCTTGAAGCCATAGATATAATAAAAAAAACTAGGCTCACGCTACAAGCACACTCCAAGTTACTATATGCACACCTATTATGTTTATACCACACACCCTAGGCTTTTGATTGGCTCATCTAGATCTCTTTTTTCTTGTCTTGGTATGGGTTTCAATTCTCTTCCTTTTTTTCTTTTTTCCAATGTAGGTCTTATTGCCTTTTTTTCTTTTTTTGGTGTAAGTCTTGGTCCCCTTTATTTTCTTCTTTGTCTTGATGTGGGTCTTGGTAGGCATGCCACACTAGAGATGAATATAACATTCTATATGTAAATTTTCTTGAATTTTGAAGTTTGGAGGTTTGGACAATGTTTGTATCTTTTACTTCAACATCTTCAAGGAATTTTTCATTAAGGTGTTGTCTAAACTTTTCAAAAATAGTTTCTATTAATCATTCTTACTTTTACCACTTAACATATCTTTGTTGGTGTCTTCAAGTTTAAAGTCCTCTTATTTTATTCTTTGATAAGTAATTTGAGAATTGAAATTAAGTTGCTACCATTTTCTACAATTGCAATTCTTTTTTGATTTTGTAGAACATGAGATAAGAAAAACTTTTATTTCAAAATTCTTAGAGTTGATGTTAATTTCAAGCTTTTAATTATAGGCATTTGTTTTCGTTTCTTTTTAGGTACAAATTGAATGAAGCATCACAACCTCAATTTACAAAGAGCTCTTGAATGGAAGAAAGGCGAACATGATGAAGAATCTTGGCACATGTGTTGCTTTTGATATTGAAATCTCAAAATGTATCATCTCCAATTTTCTAGTGCCCAAGTGGCTATTATAGCTTTTAGTGGCAAGGATCAAAGAAGAAAGGAAGGGAAGTGGGGACTACTCTTGTCTTGAGGTGAATCAATCAAAAGCCTTAGATGTGTACATAGACATAATGGGTGTGCGTATAACAACTTGGGATGTGCTTATAGCTTAAGCCTAAAAAATAATCACCAAGATTTTAAATATTTTATATGTTGGATTAGATTTTATTTTTTTAAATACGAAATCAAATATGAAATTTTGTATGTAAATGTTTTTAGGTGTAAACAATCTTGATATATCATAATCAATTAAAATTTTCTACATGTAAACAATTGCTTAAATGTTGTTGGATGTAAATAATTCAAATGCATCATTAAATCCAATATCTTATGATTTTTGTGGAATGTATTTTTTCTTAATTTCTATTTATTTGTCAAAAAATAAAAATAAATTTATACACCAAAATAAAATCACCATCTTTTGTATTCTAAATTCATTAAGATAAAAAATATCATAAAAATATATCTATATCTATTACACTTATTACATTAAAAATTCCATAATATGTTTCAAAACATAAACATTCAATCCTTCATCAAAATTCATTAGTGAATTGTATATTTAAAAGCAAAGATAATTAACATCAATATATAGATAAATTGTTACATAAAAGGTTATCAAAAAAAAATTATTAAATTTTTTTGTTTAAAATTTTTAAATTATAATAGTATCATTTCTTAGATCTTGGAGAATCAAATAAGAAAATGTATGAAAATTTCTTTAATTTCTTGTATTTGTATGATGCTTTTAAAAGTTATTATTTTTTTATAAATTTAAACATGTAAGAAGTACAATGGATAAACCAAATAATTATACTATTGAAAAAAATTAAATTTAAATATTACACACACGTTTTCACATAAATCTAGGATATTATTTATTTCACTAATACATAAGTTCATCCTAACTACACTAATTTAGTACCTCATTTATCATTAACCACATTTTTTTTAATTGTGTAAAAATGTAATCATCTTTAATTTTTAGGATTTTATTGGAATGATGTAAATTTATATTAAAATTTCAATTTATATATTTTTAATCTTTCTAGAAACATCAAAAAGTTTGTGAAACTTTATAAATCACTTTGTACATGTTTGTCTAAGAATCATAAAATAATTCAGCAAACTAATTTGTTTTTGGAGCCTACTTAACATTGTTTTACAATTCCTAGAAGTTTTCAATAATTAAAGTCTTTGCACATTTTTTTTAAAACTTATCCTGTGAATATCTGGATAAATAAGTTAAAACACAGTAATTCACTTTCAAAATCTACAAATCTACAAAAGAAAAAGAAAAAGAAAACTTTACAAAGGCTAAATACAAGAAACATATAATCGAATTTACTAAGACATAGTCATAGCAAAACTAAAGTAAATCTGAACTAAAAAAAGAAAAATCTTACGGATTATCCCCCAATTAGTACACTTGAAGTATTCTATTAATAATACCATGCGATCTCTAGAATGGCAGGGAAAGGACGGCAGCATCTCTCTGAAGATACCAACGAATGATACACCCGACGGAGGCGAACGTCGGAACTTCCATATATTCACCCATCCATCCATTTCACCCGTCCAAAGAGGGAACCGGGGGGGCCACGTCGGAAGGGAGAGGAGGGGTCCACGTAGGATGGGGCCATTGTCCACCTGGACTCATTGCTCCCCCTTGCTGCTTACTACAAACTACCACTGCAACTTCTTATTCGTCTTCTTCATCATCTCCTCTTCTTTTTTCCCCTCTTTCTTTCTTCCCTTTCCTTGCCGCCAACATCTCTCTCCCGCACCATCATCACCCACCCCCTCTTTTTCTCGCCTTTGTCTTCTCCTTCTCTCTTCTTCCGGCTCGTAATTAGGGTTTCCCATGTAGGGTTTTCTATTGCGTTTTTGTGCTCTTCTTCTCTTTCTGTTCCGTTGTGTTAGTGCACCTCAAGGGAGGGGAGAGGGGAGGGAAGGTCATCTCCTTGGTTTGGTTCCGTGAGGGAGGAGCGGGGATTTGTGGCAGGGCGCTTGCGGGTGTTAGCGATTTCTCGGCTTGGTTAAATTGCGCTTCCCGAGGCGAGTTGATTGCCTTTTCGATGAAAATTTGGAGTTGCGAGGTTTGGGACGCGTTGGTGATTGCACAGGTGTGAGTGAGAAGGAAAAGTTGGGGAACCAAACGACTTTTCGTGTGCTGGTTTGGTGTGTGTGGGAGGGGGGGGGATTAGGTCTTGGGGTCGGGAGATAGACTGAGAGAGAGAGAGAAAGAGAGAGAGGGAGTGTGAGAGATTTGCGATGTGGTAATGTGGCGCTACGAGGTGATGGTCTCTCTTTGGAAGCGAGAGTGTCGCGGTTGTTGAATGAGAGGGAGTGGCAGATGGAGAGGATTGGAGAACGATGTGACAGAACGGGCTAGGGATGTGTGAGCTGATTTTTTTTAATTGTGTTTTCAGGGCTTTGGGAGGTGAATCTTTAAGAATCGTTGGGGTGGAGCGAGACTTATTTCATGTACGGAATGTATGAAAATGGTCAATGACAAACTGTGACAAAGTCAAAGTGAGGGTTAGCTCACTTTGGTTTGGTTTCCAAGCTGGTCGTTTTTAGTTGAGGTAGATCGTGGAATTCTATACACCGCACGCACAGATAGCTTGAATTTTTGTTGGATTTAATTGTCGATAAATCGAAGATGGAGACATTTACATTGGATTCTTCGTAACTGAAGTATCACCCTTAAATTTGAAGAGATATGGTTTTGCTTGGACACGGTGTGTTAAAAAAAGTTGCGCAGCCCCAAGGTTGGTCATCAGTGATAAGTTAGGGCTGTCGTTGGTGCAGGAAGCATTCGAAACTGAGATCGTTCTACGACGATCTGGCGTCAAATCGCTGTGTTTCGTCTGGCGCCTGTTGCAAATGGAGGGAGATTTCTTGTAACGCGCGTCTCATTGAAGGGTATCCAGCAGCTGCAGAAAGCATCTGAATGTCGAGAGTGGCGGATTCTGGGAGTAATTAGTGATCAAATGTTAATTTCCTGGAAATGCGGACGAGAGGAGCTACAGGTTTGGTGAAAATGATAGGAAAGTAACAGGAGAAGACCTCTACAAGAGGCTTTTTGGGTCTCTTTAGAAACTGGCAGGGATGTCGTTAGCAGAGCAGGAATCCTCGCTGAGGCGCGAGAGGTCAATGAGTGGCCGAGCAAATGTACTCGCAGAAAATGCCTCTGCCTCCTCTAACATTTCTCGGGCACCTAGTCAACGTGATGGTCTGGGTCTGGGTGGTGGAGGCGGGCGTGTGCCTGGGGGCAGCCAGCGACCACGCCAGCAGGTCAAGAAGCATCCTGAGCCTCTTAGGCGGGCTGTAGCAGATTGCCTATCGTCCTCCCACCATGTTTTTCCGACTGAAGCTCTCCGCACTGTGCAGGTATCATTTTGACTGCGACCTTGATGTATATACTACATGAGTTTCACACATGCTTTCAAGGCATGTATTGTGAGATTGGTGCTTACTGAACACAGAAACATTATCCTAGTATGGTACTATAGCCTTGTTGACTAGTTAGTGGTCCGTAATCAGTTTAAGGTTTAATTTTAATGTAATTGTTTGTCTTAAGTTAATCATGTATCAAAGTGCATAAGTTAATTCGGCTTCGGTTGTGGTTTCCTCGTAATTAATGAAGGAATCTTAATTAAAAGAAGGTGGCGATCTTAGACTTACATTATGGTGTACCGGGCGTTGTGAAGCATTCTCATTCAATTTCCTGAACTTGGATACCGGGAGGGTTGATTAATTATTAATTTTCAGACTATTTCTTGTTCGAAAACATGATTAGATGTACGATTGCATAGTTCCGCGAACGAATCCAATCTTTGTCACGTTCTTTTGATGTCTGGCATGCACGCCTTAATCCTCTCTAAAGTTCCTATAGTGAAATTACAATTTAACATAGAATTTCTATAAAACGATGGAGATCCTATTTGTTTCGATTAGTGGTCCATTCACGGTAGGAAGGTTTAGTTTATACCTGTCATTCTAGGTGTGGCGTACATGTCGCGTTGAGCAAATTCGAGTTTTACTCATCCACTCAGTAGGTGATGATTGTAGAGTGATTTTCAAACACAAGATTGTTAAGGATTTTTTTTTTTTTTTTTTTTTTTTTTTTTTTTTTTTTTTTCTTCCACACTATTTCCATCCCTACATTAAGACGATCTTGGGATATGGCAGGACTATCTTGCAAATTCAATGACGGTTGACTCAGCGTACAGCGTGCTCATTGATCATGCTCTTGCTGAGAGAGGTCGCAGGTTTGTTTGACTCTTAATTGTTCCATTCTTATAGATTTTCTGAAAATTGCGTCTCTGTTGCTTATAGATCATGGGTTGCTGCTGAAGGTGCAAAGAAACAAGAAAGTTTTGGCAAATTCTTTAACAGGACTTTAGTATCTCAAGTATTGCGATTGTGGTCCACATCTTCTTTCCTTAGAGAAGTAATTTTTGTGGTTTGGTTTTCACGTGCAAGAGGTTGATACTCTGGTCACTTGACATACTGATTACTTCTCTGTTCTAATTTGCAATCTTTGTTGTGTGTTGTATACACAGCCCACCTGTGATTACCAAATGTGTTTCGCTTCTCAAGAAGTACCTTTTTAGGTGCGCTTGCTATCCAAGCATGATCGTCTATTGTATGCGCTGTTTGAGTGCTTTTTGTGATGATTTCTGTTTATATAAGTTTGGAAGACTTAATAAGCTCATTTTTATCATTCTCATGAGCTCATGATTATTCTGAATCCTATTGACTGCGGGAATAAACCACGCTTTATGATTTCAGAAATATCACTCTCACTCCAGCTCTTCCTTGTCGTGATAATAATGAATGTAACGCACAGGTAGTAGGTGTTGTGAATGTAAATAGCGACATGTTGATGGTGTGGCCGAAATGGTGCGCGAAGAATATTTTCCTCAACGAACATGAATTTTTGGTATGAAATTTGTGTGGGCCTGACAAACTGCCTGATGCTACCAGATATTATCCGCGAGCTTCTACTCTTCGACAGATTGATGCATTTTGTGTGAGTATCATTGCTGAATGCAATGCTTATTCAGAACCTGCCAGTAAGAGATCGTACCCTTGGGTGCAACCTGTCAGTGACATGTCCAACTTCCGCGTTACTGGCATGTCACCAGGTATCACAACCTCCACATTTGCCTCAGCTGCTCTAGTCAAATCACTGAATTTTGTCCGTGCCCTAGTTTTGAAGCACTTGCCAAACCATGGCTATGGTGGGGCTAGTTCTCCTAGCCTTTCTAAACCCCTTACACCGGCAACGATGGGCTCACCACGTCCTGGGAGTTTGAAGCGCGGAATGCTACAGGACCGGGACCGGTCCAAAGTGGCGGTAAACGGTATGGATGGACTCGAGGAAGTTGAGCACGAAGATTTACTTTATGTTGCTGTGGATGTGCTAAAATGGCGGTGGGCAGGCAGTTCAGGCCAGCTTCCATGGGCACCTTCTCCGGTCATGTTGGATAGGTAGTATTGATTTTGAAGTTTTTTTTTTTTTTTTTTTTTTTTTTTTTTTTTTTTTTTTTTTTTTCTGTTGCAAGTTTTACGGCGTTGCATGTTCTGGAAATGTCATACTTCTATGAGTTGAACTTAGTTCTTAGAATGTGCACTTGTATGACAGTGGGGGCATTGCAAGACCTCATGTGGAGCGTTTGCCTCATCTTGGAGAGCAAGGAGCTGCTGCTCTTTTACTCAGAGGGATAGATCGCAAGGACATGGGGTCTGCTAGTAAGAAACAGGTTATGTTCAAACCTGTACTTAGAGAAGCGTTTCGAAGTCTATGTTCCATGAACTATTTTTGCTTTTCTCTGGAGATCCCAGGTTCAATTGAATAATCGCTTGGATAAACAGATAAGGTACACATGTTGTAACGTTTTTAATGTAGAACAGATCTTTGATTGATGTATCTATGCATGTCGGACAAGATCAGTCTAGAAGTTTTTGTTTAGGTCTTTGATTGTCGTCTATCATGTATTGCAGGTTGAAAGAAATAAGATCACAAGTCTTGAAGGAGGTATTCTTACAGAGCAGGTGCTGCGACCATCTTCTCTGACTTCTGTATCAGACCATGGTGCTGCGAGATCTCATCTTCGAGCCATTGCTGCTGCTAAGAGGAAAAATCAACCATCTCCGCGATGGTAAGTGGCACTTCTGTCTAATGCTTGTGTTGAAACTCTTGTTTTTTGAACACTAAAGTAGTTGCTTTTGTTTGTCCAAGGTGTGCGCTTTTCGTTGCTGATGTTGGAATCTTCAGGGATGGAGAAACTGCTGCAGGCACTGCACGTAGGAGAGCACGGCCGTTGTTTCAGTATCGCTACTACAGGTAAGTTCTTTTAGAGCACATCTACTGATTAGGTTGTCAGATTTTGTAGAGCTGCTGCAAATGTTGAGTTTTGCGTAGTAAAGTGCGTCTGTTCAATATTTGCTCGAAAAAGTAGCCACCGTTCTATTTTAGGGAAAGAACTACATTGTGTCTTATTTTTAGTTTCCCTGTTTGGCTTCTTGTTGAAATGTGAGAGCAGTGAGCAGCAACCTTTAAAATTAAGCGAGGCAGAGATGGAAGAAGTTGTATCAGCTGTTTGCGCTGAGGCGATTACAGCTGGCAGCACTGCTTCTACTCCGGCCCATGGCACCCAGGCTGGCAAAGTGGCTGTGGAAGCTGCTGATGTTGCTGCAAGTGTTCTTATCAAGCTTCTTATTGACATGTACGTGTCAGGTTTCAGTATTTGGTTATCAAGTACAGAGTTGTGTGTGATAATTTGAAACAGTTATGGCAAACCTGTGGTAACATTCTTTTGTTATAAGATTTTGCATGCAGCAGAAGAGCTTTTGAAAGTTGGTTCAAGCACGTTTTCGTTATGCTATAATTTCCTGTAATTTATACAATATTTTAGTGTGTGCGAACTTATTTGGATCCTATTTTCAGGTACATGGCCGATTCCCGAGCTGCAGCTCCTCTCACTTTGTCTCTACTACAGGTATTGGCTACGTCCTCTCCTTTTTTTCAAACTGAACCATAGTTAAGTGTCTCAGGTTCAAGGATGTTGTGCTATTTTTATTAACAGCTTAAGAAGTGCTAGAACAGCTTTAGGTAGTGCATGGTGTTGATCTTCTAAAACATTTGCGACATCACCCTAGTGCAAATCTGTTTCTCTACTTTACTTTTTAATATCCATCTTTCCTTCCTGTTTGATTCAAAGTAATTGCATATTTTTACTTGACAGGGAATGCTGAGTTCTCCCCAAGCAGCTGTCAGAGTTCGTGCCTTTGATTTAGCTCTCAACCTCGGCGTTCATGCCCACCTTTTGGAGCCAATGCAAAGTGATGATCAATCTTTTGTTGAAGAACCTAGTCAGCCGTCTGGTTTGACGGGTGGTTCATTTTCATCAGTTTTGTCGGCAGGAGATTTGGCTGTTAATGAGAAAGATAAGATTGCTCAAGAGAATGGAGGGGTCAAAGGAATTGAGAAACCGGAAAAAGGAACGCCTGCAGCAGTTGGAGTCTTTGAAGCGTGGTTGCTGGATATTGTGTGTGAAATGCTCCTCTATCTTGTTCAGGTACGAGCTTTATACCTGTACTCTGTATGCTCTGTTTTTCTAATACGCACACCTCATTCATCACTCAAACACGTGACAAACTGCCTTTTAAATGTGAAAATAATTTAGGTGTTTTTGTTCACGGCAAATACTATTTCATTTAGTGTGGTGGCTCCATTCTTGAGGTGGTACTTTGGAGAGGGTTTGGACTAAGGCATTCTAGTTATGCTTGCTTAGGAGAGTAGACCTGCGATTTTGGTGGATACGCCCATTAGTTTATATGAACATATGAAAGAAACCTGTCTTCAGAAGTGTTCAAAGTATTGTATGGATGAAGTTGTGGATTGCTCAGTAGCTGTAGGTTTCTAAGACCTTTTCACATCTGAGGTGCGGATTTTCCTTCATTCCTGGCAGGCCGAGGAGACAGAGGAGGGAGTGTGGTCTGCTGCATTGAGCTGCTTCTTGTACTTGGTTTGTGATCGTGGACGCATTTGTAGGAAAAGACTTGCTGGACTTGATATTAGGGTATTTCCTCTTGTCCTTAGTGATATCTCCAGAACGTTTTGTGGATTTTTCGTTCGTTTCCCTTTGTTATGTTGTTCGCTTGGAGTGTATTTTTTTGTTGATGTCTCATGTCGAGCAAGAATGAGATGTTTTTGTTCGTGTCTGGCATTAAGGTGCCAGGCTGAATAACGTTTCGAAAGTCAGAATATTACAAGTAGGTGTCTGACATTATGACTAGTTGTTTCAAGTTATTGTAAGACAACGGAAAGTAGATATTGTTTTGTAATGTTTCTATATAGGCATACTAAGAGCCTATGGGACAGGTACTGAGTTCACTATTGGAGGTAAGCTGGATGCACGCCTGGGCTGACGAAGTACACTGCCGTCTCATACGAATGGCATGCAATCTTTTGTATCGCCAGCCTGAGGTAGCAGCAGGAGAAATTCTTAGCAGGCCATCACTTGACCTGGATCAGCTGTATCTCATGGGCGGCGTTGAAGTCATCTGTAATGAGGTATTTCTTTGATCATCAAGTTGCATTAGCATCGGCAGCTTAGCTTCAGTATTCCACTCTGTAAAATTGCACACTTATGAAAGTCTCGTTTAGTGGTCTGCATGGGGATTGAAATTTTGTAGGTTGGACCCTGGTCATTAATCGGTTGAATCCTATACATTGAGCAGGGGTTCATAAATTCTACAGCAGTATTTCCTGACCTCAAGTGGTTGTTGTTTATGCATTTTCTTTCATGATTATGTGCTGCTCATTAACCTAGTGGCTACTTTTGCCTATTTTGGTGCAGTATGCTAGGGCTAGAACTGCGGAATCAAAACAAAATCTGTTCGCCGTACTATTAGACTTTGTCCTTCATGATTTACAGCAAGCAGCAACAATTTGTGAAAAAGAACCACCAAGTATCGAAGAAGTGCAAGCTGTTGTTTCGGCACTGTGCTTAGCAGATGCACCTGAGTCCTTCGCTCTAGCATTTAAGCAGGGTCTACAGGGTGTAGGCGACAACATCGCCAAGTCGATAGGTACCGCTATGTCTCGGGATGTGACTAATGGACGTCTGAATGCCCAGGTACATGTTTTGGATATATCACATTGGTTGCTGCCTTTTGCTTGGCACTATGTTTAGTTACCTTCCTACACTGCACTCAGTTTCTAAGCAATAACCATTCAGTGTGCTTGAATAACTGCAAATTTTAGATAAGAAAGGCCTTCGGTTGATTGTCAAAGCGCTGCTGTATCTCTTGAGATTAGTATGTCTGTTTCGTTCTCAAAATGGCTCTGTTTCATTGGCTCGTGAAAATCAGAGCACGTCTTGTATGTGCAATTATCAAAACGTTTCGAAGATTTGTTCACTTAGTTCTGTTGGGAGCTGACTTTTGTTGTGTTGTTCTTTGAGCAGTTGCTGGATGACATCACGGCATCATTAGATGCGCTTGCTACTGCACATGTGCACCCTGATTCAAGTTTTGAGCATCTGATTAAGGCGACTATGATGAGTGAGGGACTTACCAATGCTGACGCTGGTGGCGGTAGTCCTATTTCCCGGGAAAAAGCTCTTGATTCAGCTGTAGTAACCAAGGCTTGGGCGACACTCAGAACCCTTCTTCACTCACCACATTCTATTTGTCGTTCAAATGGTTATGCATGGCTACTAGAGCTTCTTTGTGCAGAAATGGCTCGTGGAGGTTCCAAACAGTCGAGTAAATTGAACACTCATGCTTTGCAGAGACAGCTGTCTCTGCTGGGAAGTTTAGAACGTGCTACTGAAGCAGGCACTCCTCAAAAGACAAGCGAGACGCCAACTATTTCATCAGCTGCTCGGCTGTTGTGCGGTTTATTGAAAGCAAAGCAGCCTGTGGTACGGCGGGGTTTTGTTCTTATACTTGAAAAGCTCTTGTTACACTGTCAGAGACCAGGATTGGAAATAGAGACTCCAATTTTTGCTGGAGAAGGGGAAACCAAGGATGGTTCTAGAAGTTCAGGAGCTCAAGACCGTGCACTCGCAATGTTGGGACTTATGAATGGTGCTTTGTGGCAAGTTATCTCTGCTAATGATACAAACCGCATCAATATCTTGCAGGTGCACAAATTTTATGCCGGTTCCTTTTCAGTCGCTCTTATACCGACCTTTAATTTGTACTTCGTTGTAGTGCTTAGAATGAATGACTCGTTTGGAGAACACGTTTACTTCTTCGGGGATGTTTTATGTTCTTTGTTGTGAGGAAAGAGTATAGTGAGTTGGATCACCTGTATTGATGTCTTTCATATCTGTACGCAGATGTGCAATATGATGTTTTCTCAGCTGTGTGTGAAATGGCCTCCGGCTGAAGAGACTCCAACATGTAGCAAAGAAACATCCAGTGGGACGCCAGAGACAGTTACCAGACGAGATCATGAAAAGAGTTTAGATATCTCTACACCTGAAAGGACTGCTACAAATGATAATATGATCAACAACAATCTCACCAATGTTAACGGAGATCTTACCAACTCGGCGAACTATGGGCAAGTCAGTTCGATGGCTACAATGTTACTAAATGGACAAGCTGCATCTTCGAAGTCTTTAGTTGCTAACATGCCTACAGCGTTACTCTATTGGCCACTGATGCAGCTTGCAAGTTCCGCCAACGAAGATGTGGCTCTTGGGGTTGCAGTTGGAAGTAGAGGAGGAGGAATTGTAGAGGGTGGAGCATGTGACGTTCGTGCAGCACTTCTGTTGCTTCTTATTGGAAAGTGTAGTACGTATCAAGCCGCCTTGGAAGAGGTTGGTGGTGAAGAGTTTTTCAGGTACCTGAAGAATACATTTCAACTGGGACCTGAACTGCCGTGTATATTAAACATCTTTCGCGTGCTTGCACATGCACAAGAATCATGCAATATTGTCCTCAATGCTGTCTCTCAGTGTCCTTACGATTTTGTTTAGACTCTTCATTGCCCGCCAAGTGTATAAGCTCGTAATCATCACAATTGTACATTTTTTTCCAGGGGGCTTTTGGATGATTCAGATGCGCGTATTGCATATTACACATCTGCATTTTTACTGAAGAGGATGATGAGAGAAGAGCCCGAGGCGTATCAGCACATGCTTCATAACCTAGTCTTTAAGGCTCAACAGGCAAGTAGTTGCATTAAGATTTTTATCCTTGCTTCATAACGTACTCTTAAAAGCTCAGCAGGTAAGTAGTTTTAATACGAATTATATTTGGGTTTCACCGAATAAATGTAATTCTAATTACTTGATTTGATTCAAAACCTAACTACATTTTGGTTTGTTGGCCTGAGCAGAGCAACAACGAAAAACTACTGGAGAACCCTTACCTTCAAATGCATGGTATCCTACAGCTGTCAAGTGAAATGGGGAACACTCTTTGATGATCTGTTTCGAGGATAGCTTGTGCTGTGCTGTGAACATTCGAAGTATGCAAGCTGACCAATACATATGATGAAATCGGCTGTCATATTGTTCGATACTACAGAGTAGTTAGCAGTCAGCGGTTCTGCAAGTACTGGAGGTGATTGCTTTTGCTAGCGTTATGTGAAGATTTTCCATGGAAATGCATTACTGGGATAAGTGATCCCCTTTTCAATCTCGTTGACGGCGTGACTTGATTCACCTGCAATAACACCCCCCCAACTCTACAACCTGGTATGAAAGGTTTGCCAAAGAGGAAACGTTTTTTGTCCGCAATTATAGTAAGAGCTGCTCCTGTGAACTTCTGCGCGAAACAGAAAAAATATCAGTTATGATGGCATCTTGTTTTACTTTTAGGGTTGTAATGTCAAACGTTAAGCTCTCAAATGGTTGTCAATGTGGCAGATTAAGCAGGGAAGAGCAGCCCTATCCTATTGAGATGTAATTTATTATGCATTACTGAATTGAAGACCATCTAGACTTCCTTGGATCTTCCCGTATGGTCCACAAAGCTCCATTTCAGAAGGGCCATATGTGCAATAAAGCGCCAAGTGCTTCGCTGCAAGGAGGCATGGTCTGCAAGCATTGTTTTTGGATCAAACTACTCCAATTTTGAAAGGAATCGGTATAGCTTATTTGGAACTGTCACTTAAAGGTATGTTTTCAGAGTAGCAGTTTTATCTTTTACTTGGGTATATGTATTGATTGTGACTGTAAATTAATCTGGATATCAGGTATAGAGGGTGGTCCTTGATCAGTACCTTACATTGCAAGGAATATTCCTCTTACGTATAAGTAGATGGATTGATCGTCTCTGATTGCTTAAAGAGTAACCGAGGCTGTAAATTATGTGGTATTATGCTTTGAAGGCGGAATAAAAGTCTCGTACGGATCACTGTGCAACGGGCTGTTGATTCTCCTCCTATTTTATGCCGGAACTCGTTTCTCTCAAGGTTTTGATCAAAATAAATTTTTAAGTGCATGAGGGTAGGCAGCAATCTGAAGTTTCGATGACGTGCTTCTACAGCAAATTGGTAGACATTTAATGTGAATTGCTTCTCTGTATATCAAGCTGATACATGTGAACAATATCTCATCTAATTTCTTGGAAATTGGCCTTGTATTTTGTTCAAATAGGTCAGTGAATGAATTTGGGTGCTAGAGGATTATTTGTTAGGTAATATCCTAATTGTACATGTTTGGTGCTCTGGTAGTTTAAAATCCTTAAGTGGTGGATACTTTCTAAGTGCCTGGCCTCTACGCATCTGCCACATACGGAAACAAGGTCTGTTGTGCAGCAAGAATCATGCAATATTATTAGAACAGCCCTAGAAACCATCTGATTTGATATACCCTCGTCATGACAAAATAAATCAATACAACATACGTCGTTTATAGCAACATCCACGAAAATGTTTTGACAAATATAGAATACGTCGTTTTTAGCATTCGAGTAACACATACAACTTAAGGATTTGGCATACGAATTATTTTATGGAAACATCATTTCAAGGAAATATTATCATATTTATATATGTTAATTTTATGGAATTTTAAGTGTTTCTGTTCTTGTAGATAAATATATTTTGATTTGCAGAAAGTATTTTGTTCATGCTTGTGTGTTTGGTCGGATATAAAAGAATACTCATATTTTTTTCTACAATAATTAATCAAAAGGTGAAATTATAGGAGATTTATTGTGGAGGATATAAATTCAAAATATTTGTTGATAGACTACAACCTTATGTGCAACTATAAAAACAAAACTCCTAAATGAGATAATTTATTACATATGAGTATAAAAAACAATTCTTGTTTGACAAAAATAATTTATAAAATTTTGAATGAACTCTAGGTATAAAAAAAGTGTTGACAAGACAAATGATGGTTATAATCTTACTTCTAAGATTGTCATATAGATGCTTTCTGAAAATCACAAGACTTGGTGCCAAGTGTAAAAGTTTTAGGATGCTTTAATAGTGACTTTTTAGATGTGAAAAACTTGTAGAAGAAGTTTAAATAGCCACATGGCAATCCTAAAGATACTAATAGATTTTTTATGCTTTTAATAATGCATCTTAAGATTTACAATAAATTACAACAAGTAATATATTATAAAAAATTGTATAAAGAAATTGGCCAATAGGTTTTGTTATTATTTTTGGATATTTTATTTGTATACTTTATTAGATTTTTAAAATTTTAAAATTTTAATTAATTAATTAATTAATTAATTAATATTTATTGTTGTAGCTTTTGTTTATGTCATTTAAAGCTTGTTAAATTTTAAGAGTATTTTGCATGTTTTATTTGTAGGTTGTATTAATAAACTTGAAAATTAATAGATTTTGTTGAATTTTTTGTATTTTAAATCTATATTTATTATTATTATTATTATTATTATTAATTATGGATTTTTTTGATTTTTTTAAAAATAACTAATAATAAAATACATATATGTAATAAATATTAGACCAATAGGATTGTACTATCTTCTTTATGAAAATTATCATACTAACAATAATGTTAAATTGCTTCATAGAGCATGGAAGGTATAGATAAGCAATTTTACAAAAAGTTCACAAGAATAAAAAAATACTTGGTTGTTGTAGCAATTAATAATTTTTAATACTACTTGTTATAAATGCATGTATGGTTATATTTTAAAAGAAGAATGTAGAAGCAATTTGTTTAAGTAAATTTCTCAAAAACTCAATGCTAGCAAATTATTAGCAAGAATTTAGTAGTTCAAATTCTAACAATGATAGTTTTTATCTTGATTGATAGATACCAGCAAGTGGATGTTAGTTCCTTGATTCTCTAAATAAAAAGTGTAGTATACACACACACACACACACACACATATATATATATATATATATATATACATATATCTATGTCAATATTGTATAAACATATAGACTTAATTTAAAGAATTTGGCATTATAAATTGCATAATGCAATATAGTAGTTTTGTCATACATGAAAAAATTTTATATTCAAATCATATCCTAATATCCAACTATATTGGATAGAAATATTACTTAATATTAAAATTTACATAAATTTTTGTTTAGAGATTTTTTTATATTCATATTTTAAAATAAAAATAAAAAATTCTGCATACTTAAATAATCTATCAATTGAAATTTGTGTCTATGATGAATAATAATAACTAGTCAAAGCAGAGATTCACATATTATATCATATTTAATTTTTTATCTAGTCTTGCTTATCAACAATGCCTCTACACTTTAAAATCTCAATTGTTCAATTTTACTAAATGTAATAAATTCATATAATAGATTCTATATCTTTTGCAATATATATATTTTTATGAAACTTAGAATTAGTATGCTTGCAATCATTATTTGTTGAAATCACTATTAAAATTGTAATTAATTAAAAAAATCTAATGATTAACAATCATATATACTTTATGTATTATGATAGTTTTTAAATTTGAATACTATAGTAAATAAAATTGACATTATTTTGAAATTTTAAATAAATAAGATCCATATAGTGACAAATATTCATTTAATTTTTAAAGAATTGAAATATATAAATTTTTATATAATTGAAGAATCATTATAAATTTTGAACAAAGCAAGAGGACATAAGTGCTTCAAATAGGTACATATACATAAAAGTTATTGTTATTATACCTTGTGTTTTATACAATTTATAAATATATTTATAAATATATAGCATAATGAGCTTGGTTGTTCTTTAGAACTCAAATAGAACAATTCAAAGTATTAGAAACTATTTTTTTAGGCTTTCTTTTGTAGAGAAATTAGAGACAATATTTATACAAAACAAGGTATTCACTATATATAATAAATAGTTAGAATCTTTATAAAATCTAATAGCTCTATTACAAAGCATGAAAAAAATATAATCATAATGTATTTAATTAGATTTTAGTAAAATAATTCTAGAATCATTGATATCTAACTAATTAGATTTTTAAAATTAGATAATTTTTAAACTAATATTACTTAGTTGCTAAGATAAAGAATTAAGTATAATCAGTGAATAGAAAATTTAAATTTAAGAGTTTTTTTAGTCTTAATGACGATAATCTATAAGAAAAATATTGTGTCAAGGACATGAATCATAACAAAACTCTAAAGAAGTAATACACTCGTATAACACTCAAAAAGAGAAAATAGATAAGTCAAAGACAAATATAATACATAAATTAGAATGACTATTGCTAAATACAAAGTGACTAGAGATTCTTAAGCTAAGACAAAAACACAAGAAAGGCGTTGCCTATATATATATACTAAGAAACTACATGGCAATGTGGAAAACTTATCTTGCAAGTTAGATATGTGTATTGCAAGTTTTCATCTAACATGTGTCTAACTTGCAGTACACGTGTTTAACTTGCAAAATAAGTTTCCCACATATGTATTACATAACCAACTTGTTGGCCAAGTTTGCAACCTATCAATTACCTACAAACACTTCTAAAGTCAAATCCACATCTATAAAGCTTCCAAAAAGCTTTTCTTTAAGATATTATTCAATTTACTTACTTTTACTTTTAGCTAACTTCTATTATCATTTTAATTACTGATGCCAATATTAATATTTTTAACATATTGTCTCAACAAAATTACAGAGCTTGTGTCAAAGATAAACTTTAAAATAAGCATGCATGTATTTATATAATATCTAATTTTTGGAAAAAAAATTCTTCTTTATTTAGATGCTTGAGGCAATTCTTTTAGTATTTTCAATTGCTTAAATGTATATTATTGTGGTAATTATAATACTATATATTTAAAAAAAATCAAGCATAACATTCTAAAACAAAACACATGGATATTAAATATATTTAAAATGTTATAAATGATAGTTAGGTCTACTTGGAGAAGTTAGACAAAAAAACAAATGTAGGAGATATATTTACAAAACTAATACCAATTAAGAATTTCAAAACACAACTAAACTTGTTTAATATAAATTGTACATGAAAAAAGAATATTTATTGTGGTGTAGTTAAAAAGTGCATAATAGTTAGTTTTATTTAGATAAATAGAATTTTATTTTTCAAGCATTGTTTCCACCATACAATATGTGTTCTATTCTACAAACAATTAGAATATCATGTAGATAGTCTTTAAGAGGTTTAACAGCTCCAATACATAATTTTAGATTGTAATTATATGCATTATTAATCAAATCTTAATAAAAAAGATTTTATTATATAAATATTTTTTTGTTTTTTGAATGTGTTTATTTTTGTAGTTGATTACATAAAATACAGAAATAAAATTTCTGCAAAATGTTAAAGTTGCAAAGATGTTAAATAAATCTATCTAACTAGAAATTGAGCCTAAATTTTTTTTCACTTGTACAAAAATAAATAGATATACATCAATCCAAAGTTTCCTTCAAACACAAGTTTAATATTTCCACTCCTCAGGTTAACAAAAATGACCAGTAACAAAATCTGATTATCTTTGGACAAGCTTAATACCAAATACTTTTTGACTGAGAGTCTCTTTGTTTCAAAATTAAAACTCTTTGGTAGCAAACGTGTTCATTGATACTTTTATTGGAACATACAATTGAATTGGGAAAGAAAACCAAGCACCGATTTTACAGAATTAGGAAGTTGGATCTGTTTCACTTTCGACAGTCATCCTACTTGAGCAGTGTAGACTACACGAAAACAGAAAAAAAACAAAAATAAATAAAAATAAAAATAAAAAATCTAGGTCTATATTTGAAGTTGGTTGACTCTGTAGAAAAAAACAAAACAAAACAAAACAAAAAATTGTCATATATCGCCCGAAAATCCAGCACAAAGTTGTGCGCGTTCGTTTCGCAGCATGGCAATCTCCAGGCGAATGCCTTCGTCACCTTGTCCAGAACCCTCTGCTATCGTCTGCTCCAATGTTGCAATTATGCGCTCTATGCTTTTGATCTGCCCAAGAGCCAACCTTGTTATCAGATCTGACCAGTTCTTCACATGCAAGATAAGTTGTGTCTATAACAATAACAACTCTAGTCACAGCTCTTGTAGTTACTCTGGCACGTAACCGCCCATCATCAACTGGAATCTAGTCTTCTCAAGTCATTCAATCCAACTTAGTGTGGTTGAATCACAGAAGAAGGGATAACGTTTTAAGGTGGGACAAAGAAATTGTAATTACAATATACTACGAACCCTGATCAAAATAGATAAGTCTATCTTTAGGCCTTGGTGATTTTAGTTGAATCCAGAACTATGCGATAAGGGTATAAAACTATCAAAAAAGATAAACGTCCTATGTGTAGAAGAACACATTGTAAGAATTCACTGCATGGCGTTCTTGGCTACAAAAAGCAGAAGAAGAAAAAATAAAAGATACGAAAAATTTGAACTTAAAACCTCAAAGGGTCGTTGCTCACTTGAGGCAGTAGGCACTATTAATTATCTACTACCTGAGATTTGGCTACTCAGGATGACCTCATCAATACATCAATACAGAGAGACTAATGACGTCAAGGAAAAACGGTAACTCTAAATCATAAATGGTAACATGACCACTTAAACTCACGGGTCTTCAATTGCTAATAGTCAGCATATGTGCAACAATCAACTGATCTCCCCATAAAAATCTTCAAGACCAAAGTCATGGCGTTGCAACCATGTGGTTAATATCCATCTGATAATGATTTGAGCATTCAAATATTCCTACATTATCAGTTAGTTATCCTTCCTATCTAATTATTCTGCAAGCAACAGAACTGTTGGACTCATCATGAACCTCAAATACAGCAAGTTCTTCAACTGTATAAGAAGACTGAAACCTAGTCATTACCATGATAGATTGCAAAAAAAAGTTCACACTTCATTTTCACACTAGGCCAGACGTGATCCTATCCTGTATTTTATTACATATTAGGCATTTCAAATTTGACTTTACCTGGTTTATTTTCAGACTTAACTGAGAAATCACTGGGAATTCCATGAAAGCCCCACTACTTAGATAACTACAACCAGGAGAAAACAAAGCGTGTGTTTTAACTGGGAAACTAAGACAAATTTTATGTTTCTATTGGTATACTCGCAACTACCACCACCTAAATTTACTAGCACTTAGTTCTTAAGAGCTGCTACACAGAATAAGCAAGTCACAATATGAAAACTTGAATACTTCATGTTAAAAAGAACTCCAACCTTGCGATGAGGCCATCGACGCATGCCATTACGCCTACATATCTTCTTGAGAACTGTAGGACAAATTCCCAATTCTTTGGCCGCGGCATTGATTGGCAGGTGAAAATGCTGCGCCAAATCTATCATTTTAAGTTTTCCTGTTCTCTCTCTCTGCAATATAAGAACTGTTTATACACAAACATGGCATATATTATTTTTTCAAGATGCAATAAATCCATCAAAATTTTCTGCAATGCATCACTACTTTCATAGAATTCCAGTTCCACAAAGTACCTGTGCTGCAGCATTGCTCTTTTGTGGTTTGACCAGTCCAACTGAGGCATCAGCATTGTCTGAGCTGTCAATACTTCCGCTGCCATGAAACTTGTCCTGCTTGAGTCCAGCTTTACCATATGTACATCCGCTACTCGAATAGGCTAAACACAAACCAATTGATCAGAAACCTGTATATTGTTCAAATCAATAGCTAATCGGTAACTGTTGCCCTTGAAAGAAACCTTTTTGAACTTGATTTTCAGTAAGCTCAACTGTAACCATGGTCATCAAGCAAACCTCATACTAATCGCAACCCTGCAAGATAGCTACTAGAATATTGAGCTTCTCAACTTTCTTTCTTTCCAAAACTTTTCAGTTATGGACAAATAATGTGAATATTAAGATGAGTTCAACTTGATGTACCTTACCAATTGTCAAGACGAGTAGTTGCCAACACGTGCTAAAATTTAGAGAAATGTCTATGCAAAAAACTTGCTGTCAACTTCACACAGCGCATGGAATCGAAGATAATTTTCTGCTTGAGGAAACGTATGTTTGTCTTAAAAGACAAGTATGGCATCAATATGCCAACGATCAAGAACAACAATATCGAACCAAAACATGAAAGGGACAAAGAAGGAGGATTACAGAGACAAGGATAAATAAATCGAAGAAGCATATGGACTAATTGACCATGTGCATCTACTTTAACGTTTTGTTGAATCCACTTGCTATACAAGTTCATAGTAACTACATGCACATGGTCAATTAGTCCATATGCTTCTTCGATTTATTTATCCTTGTCTCTGTAATCCTCCTTCTTTGTCCCTTTCATGTTTTGGTTCGATATTGTTGTTCTTGATCGTTGGCATATTGATGCCATACTTGTATATGATAGGTTTTTCCTCACCTAGCACTAGTACATAATGATCAAACCTTGTTTTATACGAATTAAGCAAATATCACTGCAAGACATACTAGTAGAGGACACGGCAGTTGAGCACCACTGCAACTAGATTCATTAAAGCTCCGTATGATTATGCGGCATTTGAATAGATTGAAACTGTTAGGCTGTTAGTCGTCCAAGCTCATCCGGAAAAGACAACGTATCATTGCATGAGAGGGCTTATTTTTGCACTTTTCGTCGAAGGTTAATGCCCTAAAGCGCATTAACAACACTACGGATTGATCAATGACTTTCCACCTATTCTTGTTTCAAATATCAAACTTCAATAACAAGATGAGGAAGCAACATTCTCCGGCTAGAAAACGTGTTAAAAACTGTAGTCACATGATGCCTTCACCTCGACTATCTCTTGAAGTAAAAGATCAATTATCATAATGCGAAGAATACAGAACTAGTTAGGAGGAAAAAGGAATTACCAGAGGAATTACACAGAACTTCCGGAGGAGCAATGTGCCCTATTTGCTTAGAGATACATCGACCATTTGCACCCATCACCCGCTCTGAGGACATACCCATGCCAACACCACCACTTCCATGTGAAGCCAAAGAATCATGTTGAAGTACAAATCCTTCTTTTCTACGCAAGAGACTGTACTGAAGTAGGAAATGCTTCACATACTCGGCGTTTGCGACAAGAAACCTGCCGTAACATCCAAAAGTCAGTCGAAACCAGCAGATTGTTCAATAACTTGACCATGTGGAGACTTTCAAATAGCACTAAATGAAAGCTGCAGTCAGAAGACGTCATAGTTTCTCCAACACTTAAGATGGTCACACAACACGATTATGAAGACAGAGTTCTACATTTACTTTACAAAACCATGTAGAAGGTTTGCAAAAAACCTGTAGCGATACAGATAGTGCATCATACGCATGACACCACTAATTCAAATGCTACCTCTGCATCAAGGGTTCTAAGGAGACGGATTAACTAGTGCAGTGACAGGACAATTGGCGAGCAATGAGAGAAGTTAGTCACGTTGATTCTGAAAATATGAGTAAGAAAACAGAGGTCCATATGAAAATTCACAAATCAGCAACTGACAACTCACTCAACCATCTGTTGCTCAAAAGATGCAGGAAAGCCATCGTCGATACAGAATCGAGTTTGTAGTACAGCGTGATAGCTTTGGCCATCACAACCATGAATCTCAAGCTTTGTGTCTTGAATTCCTGACCCACACACCGTGTAAAGAATTGATCGGTCAGTATAATTGGAAGTTATTTTTAAATCATCCTTAAATAGAAAGACAGAACGAAAACACTACTGAATGTTGAAACTTCAACTACAAATACAGAATACATGAAACTTACTCATACAACAAGCTACTCCAACTAGTCGAAGCACCAGTTGAAGGATATCAAAAGCAGCAATATCTAACAGTGTAGACTCGACAATCTCATCGTGATCGGTCAACCTAACATTCGCCATACTCGGTACAACGTAAAATCCACCTAGGATTTGCATAGATAAGAAGTTTTGCTTATTATGTGCAGAATATTAACGATGAACCTAGTGACAATACAGTTCAATTGATACTGCAATGTCCCTTGTGCTAAACGATGAATTCATCAAGTGTTCCTTCGCTGAAAAGTTGGTGATGTTATAGACATGAGACACAAAAAATTCCAGATCAAACACTATTAGGATTCTGTTTCACCCTCCAGCACATTTATCTTCATTGAAGTTCGGAAATGTAGTAAGTCGTTTCTCCTAGCACCGTAGATGGCAACTGTATGGTAACTTTGAGATCCTCACATACATTACTTGGACTGGGTCAGAAAGATTTTAAGATTCTAACAGCTCAACTTGCAGCCACAACCAGTATATACCGAAGAATAGTTGCCAAGAACGATTCGCTAATGTGTATATATAAATATACTCACACACTTCAAGGAGTGAGTTCGCACCATTTGAGTGGACAATGCGGCGAAGTATCTGACATGAAGCGCACTGAAATTGCTGGTTCTGCGACTTTCCAGCGTTCGGCTGGATAGAGCCCTCTCGAACCATGTCCCAATTTAGTGGAGTACCGCTAAAATTCATAGAGTGAGCCCCGCCGGAGGTAGAGGCTCCATACTCCACACTCACGAAAGCTCGATCTTCCATGTCCACAAGACCACCTGTATCTCCTACCATGTAAAATCCTGTCGTGCAAATCGTCGAAGGGCAGGTCATAGAAGGAACCACCCTTTCCAGCGAACACACAGGAGTTGGCACTTCTAGACTCACTGGTGAAATGGGAGGATTGTTTATGTAGCTGTCAAGTGAGACGTTGAAATGAGCGAATGGATCTTTCGCAATGTCGGTAGCAGTTTCGTCAAAAGCAATCAACTCTTCATTCAATGTGTCCTCAGCATAAGCAGCATCTCCATCAACCTCTTTGCCGTCAAAAAACAAGGCGTTACAGTCAGGCTCTGGGCCCCCATCGCTCCTCCCGGATCTCCTAATATTTAAGGGTGGAAGAGGTGTTAGCATGTTGCCTGTGGGTGCTGGAATATTGAATGCCGAAAAATTAAAAAACTGCTCGTCAGTATTAAAATCTTTTGGCGGCTTCAAAAACTCATTGATGTCGAAACGTGGGCTGTTCGATGCATCAAGGACTACTTCTTCACAAGTAGAAGATTCTAATAGCCCACTAGCCATTCTCGCATTAGCCTTGGGCAATGCTCAAATGATGCAGTTTCCGGACCACAGGGAATCCAAGACTAGATCGTCATCACTGCAAGGTATTAATTCTTTACCCCGCGATATGGAAACTAAAGGAGAGGAAGACAACGACAACTGAGGTAAGTAACCTTGACATAGACAATCGTCACTTCCGGCACTTCAGAAGACAGCATACCCGATCACATGAATACGGAAGTTTATTCGAAATACCAAATCTAATGTCATTGCACTCGCGAAGTTGGGTTATAGAAGGAAGAGAGTTCACATGTACGGATTCAATAGACAGTTGATGACTGCAAGGTAAAAGATAGAGACCGGAAGCCCTGGACAAGATCGAGGTGCAAGCGACAAATTTTTATTCTCAGTTGAGAGACATCCAGAAAATTCTGATTAAGCAGCTTCCGAATTCCATGAAGAAAAATACATGCACCGAGGAAAAACCCGAAGAAATCTAGATATATAACTAGTGTCGAATATTTATAAATTTTTATTCCCCCAAAAAACTCGCAAATTCCGTTCTGATCACTTGATGTGCTATTCCTCAGTTTATGTTACTCTCTGGTAATTGATCACAGATATCAGACAAATTTCTCAAAGACAATACATTGCTCGAGATGAGTTCAACGAAAAAGATTCTAGAAAAAGAAGAAGAAGAAGAAGAAAGATCCAAATCACACATCCAGTTCCAACACCAGGTTGCGGAATTGGACTTTGCAAACTATATGCACATTTGTCAGACTGTCTGTTCATATAGAATAAACCGACCTTGACCCTTCCTTGCAGTAGTGAATTACTAAAGTAGTGTCCACTTCTCTGGCGACGGTTCCCAGTGAATGAGTTTCAAATCTCCTCTTTTCCACAAGACAAACTTCATCAAAATCTATTTTTTGAGGGTAAGGCGATGGCTGGGCGGACTACCATCGCCAAACTCCTATAATGAGCACATTAGTCTCAATAAAAGACACAAAAAGACGCTAAAATACGTGTGAATGATAAAACGTGAAGAACGCCCTGACACTCTAAGGCAGATTGTCATTCAATTTCAGTAAAAGAACTAGGAATATTGCAAGAAGCAAAATTCAATTCTCAAGAATTCTGTGAATGGAAGATGAGAGAGAGAAAGACAGAGTGGCACTGAACAGCGTATGGCACCGAGAGGTAACGAAGAATGAAAAGGCACGTAAGTGTGAGTGATCATTAAAAACACATGAGGAAAGGGAAGGTATAGTAATGCACCTGATCTTTCGCACTCAGATATCTTCAGCATTCACGCACTTGCCCTTGGTCAGTGCTTGAGCATTCCCTTGGCAGCAAACGGTGCTTGCAAACCTCATCTCCCTCTGTATCTCTCTCACTGATTCTGTTCACTTGCCAGCCACCTTCACACTGACTCCCACCTTCGGCGGGGGCACCCCCTCCTTACAATCCCCCTTCCTCCTCTTCCTCCTCTTCCTCCTAGACCCAATTCCTCTTCAGCCTCTACCTAACCATATACTCCACAACTTCCTCATCTTTTCACACGATTCTACCGACGGTTGCAGTTCATCCCGACTCCAGTCAACATGCTGAACCCGAAAATCATCATAAGCGCGCAACAATCCCGCATACAAAGATCCTTGATATCATATTGTTCTCCAAGAAACCCATGTCATTCGATTGCTAAAACCCTGCCCTGTGATCCCAAAAGGCTGCATCGCCTTTTTTCTTTAATCATGCGATTCGGATTGTTCAGGGGCTTACGATAAGAATTGCCCAAACCTAAACCTCCTCCGGATGTGAAAAACTTTGGGGCCATATACAGCAAACCTCCACCTCAACCGTCAATGTGCAAAATTCTTCCTCTGTGTTCTCTCCACTGCAGGCAAACTTCAATTCTCATGAATGGTGACCCCACCCAGCAACATGCTCCCACTTTTTGCAATGCAGCAGAAAGCCACAAGCACCGCATGAAACAACGTGAAATCTGAAGTTTCAGGGAACTAAGCCATCGCAACCAACAGGCCATTTCAGCACGTTATCACATCCGAAAGGCATCAACCCTAAACCCTGACTCTCCAACTGCCTCTCGTCGTAGTGTGCTCGGTATCGTGGTTCGCAGGCATGACAGGCAACTTACTTACGTCCATCCATAATCAGGAGATGCACAAGAGACAGGCACAACGTTCTGTGGCAAAAATCAGGACATCCCCATCTGTTATGATACGCTCTTTTTTCTTCCCCTTCCTATCCCAGTGCACTCCAGTTTCGCTTCATTTCCGTTTGTTCTTGCGGATCTCCACATCCGTTAAGCATTCACTTGTGCTTTCACACTCTCCATGGGATTTTGTGTTCCCGGTTAAAGTCAATGTACAAGATCCAAAAATCAGGGCCGGCTCTGTGGGTGAGTCCGGATTATTTAAGTTCTTTGAGGAGTTACAGCTCTTTTCCAAAGTACGATGGCTGTGTCATGACTATTGTGGTGACATCATTTCCGTAGATGTGGGTATCCGGACGTCTCTCTACATATTTTTAGTTGTGCTCAAGTCAATTAAAGTTGTGACTGTAGCGTCGCTTGCTTGTTTCATGTCGTTAAATGCTTCAAAAGCCTTTCTGAAGTCGGTGGTGAAAACTGCATCTTCACTAAGCGAGAGGTGTACGTTGGCCAACTACGCGGGTCGGACAAGGAAGGATCCAGGGGAATGTTTCGGCAATTATGGAAGGTAAGTTGATTGCAAATTATTCCCAGAGCGTCTTGTCTATCTTCTAAGCTTCATGAATGCATTCTAACTTACTGTAGTCACTTGTTGATGTCGACTGGAAACTTATCTTAGGTTTACAGTTGAAAGCTGCACCAAAACATTGCGATGAAAATTTGAGCATGGTGATTAGTCTCTAATTTTCTGATTTATTTGGGTTTTAGGATACAATTTGGAAAATGTTTCAAGTAGATATGAGTCCGAGTTCCGTTGATCTTTCCTTTAAGATTACTTGTGAACGTGACGTGCATGACCTTCATAATACATCACAGACTGTCGCAGAATCGTTGCGAACTGCATCAAGGTCTAGGTTATTAAGTTGCTTCTCCATAAAATGCTATCATCTGCTCGAACGAGGTGTAGAACGTTTGCTGTCAACAACTATGGACCCTTATCTGTCCTGTTACCTGCTATATGTTAGTATGAAGGTGCAGTGAGAAATTCAGTGCAGCTGTCTTCATTCATGGCATCGTTCTCTCATGTTATCAACGTTACTGCGCTAACTATCCCGCACTTGCATTTTACAGCACAGGTCGCTGCGCGCAGGCGCTTAAATGTCAAGCCTGTTATTAAGGAAAACAATATCATGTGGATACGCCACAACTGCACGGACTTTCGGACTCAATCCTCCACTGGTCTCGGTTTCTAAACTGAACCTAATTCCATCATCCCACCGTGGCAGGTCACATGAGAGAGTATAGTGCATGACTGATCTCCTCAATGAGCGCTAACAGGCTCGGTTCCGTCTTCCAGTTAGTAATTGATCTCTCTCAGAAACTAGGCCTTGTCCCAGCTCAAGTTCGGCAACATTTTTGAAGACGAGACGAAAAGCTCAGATTATTTAGTAAGCAGGAACCAGCTCGAGAATAGAATACTGCGATGTTTTCATGACAGAAAGGCATTGTTTCCTTGTCAGCCTTCAGATAGAATGCTCATCTGGATTTATGTTCAGCAACCGTTGTTATGGAAAGTCGACCACTATTTCCAGTCTGGGTTAGAATAAAGATCAACCCCTGCCGCAATTTATTGTCGAATCTGTCCACATAGCCAATTCAACGTCAATGGCTAATTCCTACTCAAACCTTTCTGAACTTGAGAGAACAGGAACTGAACATGCGAGAGGTTAGGGACCGAGCAGAATTGCAGAGATAAGTCATGTAGTTTCTCATCTCCGTGCTGCTTGTGATTCATTCCTGTGTTGATAAATGCATTGATAATGTGTTGATAAATGCATAAGTCATTGTTTGTTCATTCTGTTCTCTTCGCTGTAATCATTCTCGAAGAGGGTTCGTCACCAAGCTCTCTGACATTGTTGATTTCTGTACCATGATCCTTTCCTCCTCCTTCGATTGTGGGCATCTGAGACCACTGCACAGTCATGCAACACATGTACTTCGGAGGGGGACAAAGTGATGGTCATATTAGCACAAGTTACAGCTTGCATTACAAATACTGTTATAAAAAAATGTGTGAATAGCATTGCAATCAACGTTTCATTTGCTTGGCAAATAAAAAACTGACGTTGACTCGCACTGGTTGTGCAGGGAGCACCTTTCAGCTCAACAAACTTCGTTAAAGACAATTGAAAAACACCATCTGATGCAGAGACCGTACACAAGACATCTTGCATGAAGTGGTAGGATTTCTTCTACAATTGATTTACATATATAACTACATTACAACTTCTCTTGCAGGCAATCAGCAACTGTTTGAAACACTACGATTGTTCAAACTTCTAGTCAGTTTTATTACATGTGTAGTGCCATGATGTTTTCATGCAAACAACACAATAACGTCTTTCAAGCTTGTGCATAATCAAGTTGAGTATGATAATAGTTCAGAGTTAGTTACACGACATAGCTGATTACTAACCCATTTTCAATAAACAACAATTTGAAACATATACTCTTTAACAAAATGCAATCCCAGGTTGGACTTTCAGGTACTTAAAATTTTCAGTTTCTCTTCTGTAATTAACAAGTTTTTGGACTAAACTCATCATTTGTGACCTAACAACAATCATGATTAGCATATATACATGGAAATGACTTGTGTTGATAGATGTGACTACAATTTATTGTGGTGTGAATTAATTACCAATTAGTATAATTCATTTAAAATAATAAAAAATAAAAAATAAACCAGGTTGTTTTTTAGAATTACTTATAGTTCTACAAATAACCAAAATGATTGAAATTTATAGCCTCATTTCTCAGTCAAAATTTGTATAATATCTTTGTGATGATGTATTGATACAATCATGTCAAGTTCTAATCAATTCTTTTCAATTAGACTTTATTTTTAGAATTCATTTTCTTTGTTAGTAAATATTTCATATTAGTCAACATTATATAGATAATCTTACTACAAAAAAATCGATTTTGTTCTTTTAATAAGAATAAATAATATGAGAATGATGTTTGTTTATTCAATTAATATTCTTACATGACCTTTGATCAGATACTTTTAAAATCTAATAAATATCATTTGAAAAATTATCTATACATTAGCTACAAGTTGGTTGTTATCAAATATTTATTTTTAAGTTCTTAAAAAACAGCCTGTTAACTTAATTCTAACTAACTTGCTTGAATCTAAAAATTGATGTAATATTTGTTGAAGATCATGCATCAACTTTTTCAAATTGAAATTCAATTACCTTAAAAATAATATAAATAAATAAATCTTCCTTTCACCAAGGTATCAATGCCATTATGTACAACCCTCTTATATCAAATTTCAAATCCTGGAAAATTTTGAAACATTTAAATAGAAATTAACCAATTTCATCTAAGTATTCTCAAAACACACTTCTAAAATATTTTTATAAGTATCTTAAAGACATATTAGAAAATCTTAGGACATCCTAAGTCACCATACAAGCGTTTACAAGAAATGTGATATTATCACTTACTATCAAACAATATGCATTATTTCAATGGTTCCTCTGAGGACATAATTAGGGTACAAGGCAACTTTATAATATTCTTGAATGTACATTTTTTTTAATGTTTTTCTTGGCAAGATCTACCTATCAAACTAAATATTTATAAGCACTAATCAAGACTTGTAATATTGTAAGACAATTGCAATACAAGGCTAAATTACTTCAAGATTTTTGGCATATTTTCCTTGACACAATAAATATTGAAAAGGGAAAAAAAACCTCATGACAATGATAGAATACATATAGATATAGATATATATATATATATATATATTTTTTTTTATGTTTATGATTTTCTAAATTTGATGGATTTTTCATAGAAAATATTAAAAACTTTCAAATAAATCTTACATTGACTCAGCTCTTGTCATTTTAAATTTTACTTGAATCGATTTAACTTTCACTTTTTTATTTTTTATTCCATAATATACGAGAACAATTCTTGAATGTTGAATAGCTTTGAAAGACTTCTTAACCCATTTTCAAAAGTATTTGACTGTTTGACTGTTTTTTATTTAATTTCCATTTGTTATCATTTTGAGCCACAATTAAAGTTTGTCCTAGACTTTTATTGGACTTAGCAATTTTCTTTAAAAATAATTCTATCATGGTCATTTATTCAGTGACATTGCTGGATATATATATATATATATATATATATATACATACATATACATACATACATATGCATATTACAGAAAGTAATGCTGATTAAACATAATAATAATGCACACTATATGTTGGACCTGGGCCAAAATTTTATTTTATTTGAAACTTTATTCTTCGAGATATGTAGCTAGTTTGATGAAATCATTTTTTAATAGTAAACAGCATTTTAATTATTAATCTGAAGTCCATGTTGTACCTTCAAACTTTACACAAATGACTCCATTAAAGACTAGAAGGTACAAAAGGAATTGTTGGATAACAATAACATAGAACTAGATTTAAAACTTTAAAGATAAATAAAGTAAATAAATAAAATAAACAAAAAGGAGTCCTACATTGTCTTTTGGGAATTAGGGTTGGGTTGGGTTTGGTGAGATTGACCTTTCCCAAGGAGGGCCCCAAAGGGCAGGGGATGGACCCAGTAACAACAAACAGTGACACCCAGATAAGCACCCCACCAACCCTAGATTTGCAAGGTAGAGGGGATCATTCATTCCATGCCCCTTAACTGTGAAACATACACTTGCGAGATAATAATAATAATAATAATAATAGTGATAATATCTAGTTCTATGGGATTCTTTGGCTTGAAATGAATCAAACTCTGTTTTCAATGATTTTTTGCCCTTTCTGATTGGTTTTGTTCAGACATGGTTCACTACCCACACTTAGCCATTTGTAACACTCTCATGTGACAAAACTGTTATGACATGTGCTTGTGAGATGTAAATGTTTTTCAACATCATTTTTTAAGAATATCATTGGTTTTAGTACTTTTTTTTAATGAAAATCAAATAAAATAAAAGAGAAAAAAAAGTTTGGTGCTGACAAATGAAACCTTATTGGCGTTCGTGTTGAATGTATGGTGCATGTTAGATATTGTTTGTGAATGAAACAAAGTCCTCTGTTATGATTTCATTTGCAGTATAATCCATCATTTGATATACTTGAATATGCACATGTACAATTTTAGTGGCATAGGGATAAATTTGTATTTATTAAATAATTGTCATTAGATCATTATTTGTGACAATTCATGACTAGACTTTTATATATATATATATATATATATATATAAATGAACCATAGTATTGCATGAAATTCTACTAGAATAAAAACCATAGTTCTCAAAATCACAGAATGCCATTCAGCACATAACACACAACATCATGTATTAAAATCCAAAACCCACACTATAAAAACAAAATTTGAGGCCAACAACAAAGTCATGCATGCAGCCCATGTATTTCCACAATCATTCACATTCATATCTGTTGTTTTTTTATCCAATAGCTATCATTCAAAGCTAATCAAAAAAACCACCTACATGCCTGTCCTTCACAACAAACAAACACCAATGAGTATTTCGTATACGTATACATTCAGTATTTTTATATGATATCAACACGTTAGACAAAGACAATCATGCATGGAGAGCAGACATGAACACTCCTTTCCCCTTCCCTCAAGTGCTATTGAGCTAATGTCCACGTTACCATCTGACATGGCAAGGTGACGTCAGCCAAACCAAGCCAAGCCCAGGACAGCACCCAGTAGACGTAGATCTGTCTTTCTGTTCCCCACAATCCCATCAGATCCCCTCCTCCTCAAGTATAAATAATAATGTATATACATATTTATAGAATTTAATAAATAGGGGGTGTAGCAGGGCGATCACAAAAAGGAGGAGGGACATCATAGTGAAGGGTTGTTGGGCACTCAATGGCTTGCTTGCTTAGCCTTCATGGCCCTCCTAAATACCTTACATGTATTTACCTTATCGTATAATTGTACTCGGATACCGCAGTAGACTGTCACGTAGGACATAGACTGTGTGTCTCTCTCTACCTCGCACAATTATATCCTACCTGGCACCCGAGCGCCCACCTGGCATCGGCTCTGACCCAGCTGCCATGTCGGTGTTTGTGGTTTGGATCCGAGCTGGCAAGATGGCGTTCTATTGGTCTGACCCGCTTCACATCGTGTTTAGGGCTGATCCTAGTCACGTATGGAACCAGACAGCTTTATGATTGCCTATTGATCCAGAGGGCCGGGCCGGGCCGGGCCGGGCCGGGTTGTGGGGGTGATGATGGATGTTTTCAGAGGTGGAGGCTCCTGTAATTGGAGAAATTGTTCCCCATGGTTCCCATGAAATAGAGCCATAGGAAACGTGATTTTTTAAGGGAATTTTGTGCGATGTCTTGTTCCCTATGACACATGCTATCGGAGGTTACAGTTTAGGTTGTCGTGATTGGATTTCTCTGGTGTGAAAAAAATAATAATAATAATAATAAATAAAAAATGATGAAGATTTATACATTATTGTTATTATTTTATTATTATTATTTACAATTGAAATATATATTTTTAAAAATGAAAAACAAAAAGTAATTGTTTGCAATAGTGTAAATGTTATAGTTATTACTGTTGAAAAAAAAGTACATTAAATTTTATTTGTTAACCTCAAATGATTTAAAATGTAATGAAGCCCAATAAAAACATGATGAATAGTTTCATTTATTTTTATTTGAAGATGTGATAATGCATGAAAATTTCTAATATTACATGAGGTAGCATATTAGAATGTAATATGAAAATTTAGGTCTAAAGGAATGAACATGATAGCTGTTGTAAGATATTTCAAAGGTTAGTATTTGAAGATATATATTTCACAAGCACTCCATTTGAATCAAATCAATCATTTGATTAACATTTACAGAAACAATAACATTTTCTAAGCAAATTACAAGTATGACTTCAATCATGTTCAATATTCTTTACCTCATAGATGGTTGACATTTTTAAAATTACACTTTCAGCATTATAAATCACGTACAAATCAGGGTATTTAATATATATATATATATATATATATATATATATTGGGCACTTGATTAACTTTAGTATGTTTCATCTTCTATTTTCCTGAAATTACTTTTATTTATTTATTTATTTAAAACGAAATATCTGACCTTCAAATTGATTACAAAAATGCAAGTCATGTATAGATGAGAGCTGATTGTGCATAGTTCATAATTGTTGAAACATAATTGCATTGCCAAATACTCATATTCTATCAGTTAAAGTCCTTGTGAGAATCCACTCTATGTTTGCTCTTGCTTTGAAGTCCACGTATGAAAAGAACCTAATATGAATGTAATGGGGGGAAAATGATAGCAACATCTTGTCACATTAAGTGTGTTTGATTATGATGTTCAATCAACAGCTTGAAGGAATTTTACATATGCATGCTATACAAAATACTCTATAGAATAAATGAATGAACAAATATAAGTATCTACATATCAATAACTCTTTTCTTTTGATATTTTGATGTTATTTTGCTTGTTTCTATGCAAACTTGACAAAAGCAGAGGTTTCACTTCTTTTTAAATCACAAATGCACTAAGTATTACAACACAAAAATTAACATGAATGGATCACCTTAACCATCTCAATGGCTGTTTACTTTTGCTAAAATCTAACTAAGGATGATTTTTAATTTATAGTTTATATATATATTTTTACATATTTCACTCTATTTTTGCCAAGGCACTTGGTACTTACCAATGGAGGCATGAAACAAGGTGGCAGAGCCTGTCACCTTTGAGTGGCCTGTTGTTGAGTATTAAAACCAAACACCATGATTCCTTCCCATGTATCATCATAGGGTAGGTGTCCGAGACTAAAATTATATTTCATTTTTATCTACAAAAAATAATAACGAGTAAATATTGCCTGCATATAGAGGGGAATAGAGAGAGAGAGTAAACATGTTGAAAAGATTAATTTTAAAAAATAAAAAATAAAAAATAAGTCATCCAGCAAAGATTCAAATGACATTAGCCCAAGAGCAACCTCTTCTGTGAAACCCATTCTCATGCTGCCATAGACTTCCAAACCATCCAACCTCAAATTTGCCAATTGATTCAATTAATTGTTTAACTAATTTTACTTCTAACAAGCCATGAGAAGCAGAATCTAAGGTTCATAAAAGTTCCAAATTTGAATTATTTACAACAACTACAACAACTACTCTTGGGCAATTTGCAACCCAATGCATGAAACAGACCCTTTTCTCATGTTTCATATACTATTATATTGAATATATATATATATATATATATATATAAAGTATGTTGAAAAAAGTTAGACCCACATTTATGGTGCTTGAGAAACATGAGGGCAAAAGAGCACATGGAGCACAGGGGCACCAAATAATTCTCCCCCCAGCTCATGTATTTTATGTACTCTCCAAGTAAACAAGTACGGCAAAAAACAGAACTCAAGCTGTCCAGAAGCTTAACATCAGTTTTGACATGATAACTTATCCCAATAATCCATTCCATCCATCCACTCAGTCATCCGTTCATTCATCCATCCATCCATGTCAAAATACACTCACTCACCCCCCATCCTGAGCCAGGGCCAGACAGGTGTACCAGCCATATTTTTCACATTTACGACTGAATCTTCATTTACTGGGTTTGATTGTTTACAGCAAGTGCCAGAATTTATGAAAGGTGGGTGAGTGGGAGGAGAGGGGGCAGGGCTCTCAATTGGGTTTCTCCCAAAGGGCACAGGATTTAAAAATACAAACACTGCCCTACTAATATGCACACAACACTATTGTGAAAAATGAAACACAATGAATTAGGCTCGCCACAACTACTACAACAACAACCACAACAAAAACAACAACAAGAGGAAGGTCCTCAGCCTGGAAACATCAAAATGCTACATCAGTTTTTTTTTTTTTTTCCTCCTCCCCCCTTCTTCAAACTCATGCTTGTGGGGCCACCCTTGCAATAATGATGAATGAAATAAGATAAAATCAATGGAATTTGAATTTGTGTACTCAGGCATGTGGTGTGTGTTCACACACACACACACACATCCTCATGGTGCTCTATGGAACCATGGTAACATAAGCTCAAAGGAACATAGTACCCCACTAAAAACTATGTCAAAGTCAGCATTGGGAGTAAGAGTATGAGAACATGTTGCTGTGTATTTGTATGTTCATATCACAGTGGGAATCCATTTGCACTAATCTCAGAAATTGATTCGTATATATATACACATTTTTGACAGTGCATTGACGTCCGACAGGTGCATTAAACTTGCACACAAACGCTTCAGACATGTGCTAGATCGACCCAAGCTACGTATTAATCGTTCACGCTGTGAACGATGACAGTCTCGACTTAAGCTAGCAAACCAGTCATCGATCTGCTTGAAAAACTTGTTTTCTGTGCCATACTCAGCGACAGTTCGGTGATTGCGACACGGCGACAAAGGCAACAGATGTTGTTGCAGAGAGGGAGACTAGGAAAGCGGTGGTGGAGGTGGAAGTGAGGCAGAGAGAAGTTGATGTTGTGGTGATCCCCAGCCAGGTTTCGATTTCACAATATAGGGACGCTCAGATCCCCACGCCAACAGACGCTGGAGATTTGCGACGTGGGTGCCGGGTAACGGTTTTCCCTCCATGTCGCCGCGCCGCCACTCTTTGAGCTACGCGTAGATTAGCCACCTTAAGTGGGTTTGTTTTGCACATACTAAGCAAACCTGGGAGTGCTGGGCTCCACAGATGTCACAGTTGTAGGATTGGGAGAGAGGTACTTCGAAGGCTCGGATTTCTTCTTCTTCTTCTGCTGCTCACAGAGAGCCTGGCCTGTCGTCAATCCCTCCCTCTCTTTTCAGCTTCTGCACTGGTTTGGCGATTGTCTTTGAGGCATAAGAGCCTGTTGCTGTGGCCATGCGTGCGATTCTGTGAGAGCCATGTGCAGACCGCAGCGACCTGAGAGTCGGACGTAAATGCTTCATCAGGTGTGAGACAGGCGGTGCACTTCGTGGTATGGACCCCGATCAGTTTTAGGAGAGAACGCGGGTGAGGAGTTCTGCGGAGGATACTCTTATCACGGCTTGGTAGCAGTGTTCGTTTGTGGGGTTCGAGAGTAGTTCTGCTCTTCTGAATGAGCGGAAACGGAGTGTGAGAGGAACGCGGAGCATGCAGGTGTCGGTGCGTGGACGTCATGATCTTCTTCAGCTGATGATGCAACGGTGCATATGTTGGCGGGACTGCGTGGTCGAGGTGTCATGAGTTGCTGACATACAATCGCTGGCGGAGCACAGGTTTAATCTTGAGAGATGAAGAAAGACCAATTTCGGTGTACAATTGTGAGGTACAAATTTCTGGCATTATAGATTGTGGTTCGTGGCCCGTTCGAGACTGGCAAGTCCCAGACATACATTATATACTATGATTAGTATCGCAGATGAGTTATCTGCGTTCTCACACACTCTTGATTCGACGAGTCAGAGGTGAGAGCGAGAGAGAGAGAGAGAGAGAAAAGAGATAGAGCGAGAAAACTCAGGTGCCGAGAGCTGGTTGCTTCTAGATATTTTGCTCTTAGGTACATCGGTAGGACACAGCACCCGTTCTCACACTGAATTTCATGGTTTCTGCCGGACGCTTCTCTGATCTCTATCAACACCACAGCTGTATGTATCCGTTCTTGGTCCCCGAAAATTCCGACTACCTTGACTTCTAGATTTGCCATTCCTTCTTTCACAGTTACAGTGTCAACCAGCTTGTCGTTCCAATTTTTGAGCACTCGCTCAAGATTGCTTATAGCACAATGTAGAGAACCTGTGACAAAGTGCAGCGATACTTCTGTGGGCTCGGGTGATCTTGTATTACGTCGACCATTGCTTCCGGAGCTCTCTTGCAGAGGCTCTCAACTACATGAAAGCGACTGCTGGGAGGAAAAACTCATCGGGCAGTAGTTCAGATCTCGACCTCATGGACATGCGCTTCGTTCGCGTCTTGGCCCTGGCAAGCATGTTGAGGATGGTGGCGTCACAAGCAACAAATTCAGTCGACTTGCAAGTCCTTCACGAGATGATGTACTCCATAAACTTTGAATACAATTGGGACAGCTACTATCCGGACCCCTGCATCTCCGGTCCCCAGGGCATTGTCTGCGAGGCCGACCCTGTGACGAATCTCTACTACGTCACACAGATGCAGTTCGGCTACATTTCCCCCATCGCCAACCTCATCCCCTGCAGCTGGAACGCCACAATCCCCGCATCTATTGCTAATCTCACCCGCCTGGACACTCTCTCCTTCTACAACTGCTTCTCGATCTCGACCGTCTCTATACCCGAAGATATCTCCTCCCTTGGTCCTACTCTTCGGCGGCTGTCCTTCAGTGGTAATCCAGGGCTAACCGGCGCCATCCCCTCAGGTCTAGGGAAGCTCACGGGGCTTCAACGACTAGTCCTCTCGCAAAATGGGCTTCAAGGGAGGATTCCAGAGGAGCTGGGCAATCTGCAGTGCCTCATCCAGCTGGATTTCAGCCACAACAACCTCTCCGGTTCTGTTCCTGAAACTTTCGGTGCAATGAACAGCCTCGTGAACTTGGACCTTAGGTACAACCACCTAGATGGTACGCTTCCCCCTTCCCTCACCCAGGGCCTGCCTCAGCTCCAGCGGCTTGCCTTGAGCCACAACCATCTCTCAGGCAGCTTGCCAGACACTTTCACCGGGCTCAACTCCCTCACCTTCCTCGACTTGAGCCACAACGAGCTGACGGGCCTGTTGCCGCCATCGCTGGGGCACTTGACAAATCTCGAAGACCTCTTCCTGAATTCAAATTCCCTCGTTGGAAACATCCCAGCCCCTATCGGCATGTTGAAGAGCCTCGTGAGGCTGGACCTGTCCTCCTGCTCGTTCGGCAACAAGATTCCCGATTCTTTGAAAAACCTGGAGAATCTCAGGTTTCTCTCCATAAGCAACAACAAGCTCTCGGGGCCAATTCCTGCCTCCTTGGCTTCTTTGCCGCAGATATTCACTCTGAACCTGGACGGAAACCAACTCACTGGACCTGTGCCATTCCCTGCTTCATTTGTGAAGAAGATGGGTCGCAACATGCGGTTGGGAGACAACCCTGGGCTTTGCTTCAACTCGCAGCTTGTCAGCGTCAAGATCCCTGATCTGGGCTTAAACCACTGTGCCGATCCGCCAACCATGCCTGCCAACGCGCCGAGATCTCCTCTAGCAACACTGTATCCAAATGCTACCATCAGACAAACCTCGTTGTCTCTCTTCCAGTGGAGTTTTTGGACATCGACATTGGCTCTTCTTTTTCTCGAAGTGTAAAAAAAACGATTGCTCGCTGAATTTTGCAACGCACAGCATTCATTCTGTGATTTGGTGGAAGGTGGAGAAGAAAAAGTCGATGCAGATGTTCTAACAGAACCGTCATTCCACGATCCGCATGTCCAATTCCCTGATAAATAGGACTGATACTGGAAACTTTGTGAAGGTGTGTTGTAGATGCATAAATTGGGTTTCTACCCTGCTCTAGATCCGTGGTCTTTGTGAAGAGGTAGGTTTCGAGGGCAATGCTAATATGGTCAACTTCAGCTCTTAGTAGATCCGACACCCTCGCCAGGATTTTTTCCTGTTTTTCAGTTGCCAAATGAATTTGTAGTGGATTTTTTTTTTTTTTTTTTTTTTTTTTTTAGCAAGCTTTGGACTTGCTGGCAAGAGAAGAGGATGGGCAAGTAATTTGCTACACTACTATTCACTTTCTCAACACTTGCAGGCAGCTACAGTTTTAGGTTTTGCTCATTGTTGGTCCTCTGTTCTGAGCAACTTTATTGCCAGAGGTTGGCAATTGAAACTGTAACAAAGCCCATCGATTCCGTTCGGAAGCTTCTTGTAGATTTTTAATGCTTAAACTAGCTACTTTTCGTTGCAATCTGGTTATGCTTGCCTACGTTTTCTTACGAATGTGTACAGAATTTGAAATTGAGGCTCATGCTCTTATACTTCCTACGCTGGTTGTTACACTTTCTTGCTTCAAGCTTTTAACAGCGTACACTAGGTTGTTAGTCATGTGCAGCAAGTCCAGGTGAGCTTTAACTGATCCAAAAGTAACACTTAGACAAGTGGGATATCGTTTAAAAATCCATCTCCAATATGCCGTACTCTGCAAGCTCAAACTAGACAATTGCGAGTCAAAATACATGTTACATTGAAATTCGTCGACCTAGTGGAAGCTATTCCAGTTCATAAATATCTAATGTTCAGTATAGAAATATATCTCGCTGTTGTCTTGAATCTCTTGGAAATCAACGTTCATTGAATTCATATGTACCTGTTTTATTTACGCCCCAAAGGACAGGAACTAAGGCCACAGATTAGTCACGAATTCCACACCTGAGTCATGACATTATCAACAATGTAAGGTGAAAGGAAATGCTGGACATCCGAGGACACCCTCAGTCGGGAAATTCTTGAGTGGCGTTAACGCTCGTGCAACTAAAATAAGCCGCAATAGTGACAACAACAGTGTCACACAAGCATAAGATTCTGAAGTTGAATTCATTGAAAAGATGGATAACAGCTTTACATTCTAAGTTAATTAAGATTAGCGTGTCAAATAAGTCTACTCTTAGATACAAATAAAAATTAATTCCATTGTGACCGTTTCTAAGCCCACGATACATGAAAGCATTGTACTCATTACATCCAAATATACAGTCAGTACAATTATCCAAGTTGAGACTCGTCTTCAGATGAACGATGAAATACTGTTTCAGAGCAGCAACCTCAAAATACTACTACTTGTGCAAACTGGAGTGTTAAATTGGTAAAGATTTACTGCAAAGTACGCTTGGAACAAAAAGAATGAAAAAACTAGACAACTAACCTAAAGCTGAAATTCAGGTGGATTCATTCAAAGTGGAAACTGAAGAACTGGTTTATGATCTGCGTCACCCGAGCTTGAGTCATCTCTATACACACTCACTTCTGTCTATTTCTCCTCTCGAGAGGCTATTACTGCCAGTAAATTCTCGAGAGACAAGAGATTGAAACAGGAAGGCTTCAAAAGCCTGCCACCATTAATTTCAACCCCATACCCCAAACACAAATTTTGCAACATCGTGACTACAACACAGCAGGTAGCTAAGTGAACGTATTTCAGTGCAAGTCTAGGCTTGAAGAGACCTACATCACACAGAACAAGCTATTGAAAAATTGCAGAAAAACCCCCAAATTAAAAATGTAACTACAGAAGACCTTCCCTCCTGGTTCACTTTACACAGCTGAATCCACCACAGATGCCGAGCCAGATGGCAAACAGCACAAAACACACGACGAGGTCCAGAATTAGTACAAGCTTCACATTCTTCCACCACATTTGCGACGCTATTTGTCGATTCCTCAGCTTTTTCAAGCCAGGATCCATCTCGGAGGCGTTGCATGTTTCGAGCGCCTTACCACTGTTTGTCATCATGATTTCCTTCACCTGAATGACCTGGGTAGCACACCCTTGAGCCATTAGCGTTTCTCACTCCCATCAAAAAAACCTCTGTACACTCTAATATAACATCTTCAATGCTGAAAGCTAACTAAAGCCTATACAACTAAATCAGTTCCTTAAACAAATTGAAAAACAACGGTATGAAGCAAATGAGTTCTATTGGGAAATCAATATAACATGATTTCCTTCAATTGCTTAGTACTTTAAAACTTCAAATTGAACGATTACTATAATCAAATTGCTTACGTTCGATTTCACAGATTGGCAAAGCGTAGCTAATGAGTAATTAAAAGAAAGCACGATATGTAATTTTAGAAGGTAAAACCGCACAGGCACCTGCTGATCTTTACTGGGCTTTTTGCCAGCGTTGAAATCTCGATGACCAATCGCGGTAAGAGGGGACGGACCACCATTTGCCCCTGGGTGAGAATGTTCGGCCCGGGCTGAATTAGACGGACTCAAGCAAGTATCGTCTTTCGAATCAGAGAGATTGTCATCATTTAAATCGAACTCCTTCTGAGGTATGCCCACAAGCGGCTTCACTAAATGCTTAAAAACACCAGCGAAGTCACTGCTCATAGCATTGTAGTCCAGCCGCATGGGATCCAGTCCACGAGATCGAATCAATATCTTGAATTCATCCCTGACCCGCTCCAGAAACCCAAATGTTTTCCCCTTACCCAACGCCTCATCCACAATCGCACAGTATATGAATGGGCTGTCTATCAAAAAGATGAACATGCGTTGCTTAATGGTATATGAGAACTGGAGGTGGTAGGGTGGAACTTTCTCGAGACATTCCACGCCCACATCTGCTGCTAGGTCTTCCTTGGGATTCCTATGCTCCACAAGCACAGTACTCTCCCTCGACACCGATGCATAATATACAAGATTAGTTACAGAACTCATGGCTCTTTTGGTTATCCGCACGTGCTTCTGTACACCATATCAATCTTAACCTCTGCAAAACTACTACCCTACCCTACTTATCCAACCAACGCTCTACAGCTAATGCTCCTCCGCAGTCCTGGGGATCCTTTTTCCTCGAATCAAGCGACCCAAAAACCCTTCGCTCAAAAAGTCGGTAAATCACCACAAACCCAAGGCCCCAGAGCTCCACCAAGATCCACCTCCATCCAAACACAGCTTCACCCAACCCATGTCGACAAACACAGGCCAATCCAAACTACCCTAACATACGAAATAACCCATCCGAGTTCACGATCAGATCAGCAAGTCAAACCATGGGTACCACTATTGAGCCCTCGGCGCCTCCTCCAAAACCCACAACACAACACTGAACTACTATCTCTTGCTCAACAACCTGGCAAGAGACACACACACACACACTTCTTACATCAAATAACAATCAACGCATCAAATCGGACGATTCAGCTTCAACTTTCCCCTCAAAACCGAAAACGGCAACCCAGCCACCCTAACCTCACAAACGGCTTAGAAAACAATCTCCCTCAGTCAGCACCCATGCCGCTCGTGCATCCTACTCCGTCCAAGCTACGCTACGCATGAGGAAGCCCCAAAGTACTCCACACTCACCTTCAATCCGCGTTGTCGGACGAGACTACAGGGGAAAACAGTGACGCCAACGGGGAGAAGGGCAGGAAAGGCGAAGTGCAAGCTATAAGTTGCGGGCCATGACTTGGGCTGGACTCGACTCCCCCCACCCCACTCCTCCCTCCCTTCCCGTGTGGAAGAAACCTACTCCTCGGCAGATTAAAAAAGGTGTGCTGGAGATGCTAAAACCAGGGCTGTCCAGAGACGCCGATCAAGCGGGCGATTGTTATCACAGATTCGGGTTCTGTCCAAGCTTCTCTTCAACGATGCAGCAGGGTTGCGATGGGTAGTGACGTGGGTGTGACATGCAGGCCGACATCGGATCCGGCGGGGCACATGGTGAGGCAACCTTAGCTTCCTTTGAAGCTGCAACTAGACGCCCGCTGTCGCGCTTCTGGCTCTCGATTCCTTTAAAGCTGATATAAAGGTCTTTAAAGCTGATGGGCAGGTAGAGGTTCTGCCCAGAATGAGGGGATGGAATCCATACCAGGTGGATGGCAACGAGGGCGACTAAGGGGCACATCCGTCCAGCGTCAGTGAATGAGCTGTCTCGGGGCTCTGATTTTTCCTAGTTGACATTTCTCCTACTTTCGCTGGCTCCATCACTGATTCAAATTACATTGTTAATCTGGTGCGTAGTGGCCAGTGCCGGGAATGGTGCGTCTGATCCAGTATGGCAACGATTGTACCCTCAGGGAAGGCTAATTTGAATCGATGCTTAGATTCGGATGTTCAGAATAATACATGAAATTTCACTACTGGGGTGTTGTTTGGAGTAACGATATTAACCTGTACTTTTCGCGTTGGACAGTGAGACGTATTCCACGGAGACACTAACGCGTGTGAGTGAAAAAAACACTGCCACTCATGACCCCTGGAAACATCCAGCTTCCAACTGTCTGTACTGAGATCAGCTTTACATTTTCAATCTCTGGTAGGTCGTCCGTTGTTTGAGCCTTGGCATGCACACCAAATCCATGTAGTGTGGAATGGACTACATGGACATTACATAACCGATTTCTCGCTACGAAGGAGACATGAGTTTTTCATGTGGTTTGGATGGTGCTTTCATATTTCAAAGAGCAGTGGCTGATGGTGTGACAGGACAGGATCTTCTCTACAATGAATTTGCAAAACGGCGAGGTTTAAGATTGGTGAAGTTTTGAAATGCTTTGTGGTAGGAAACAATCGCTATAACTAACAACGGTAAAAGTTGCAACTTACATCAGTTATCCACAATGTCAATGCTCCAACTTGATGACCAGGCATTCCTCAGATGTTGGGCAAGTTGGGCAATTTTGGCCCTCATCCACCTCTGGGCGTATTCCGAACTCGTGGCCTCCTGCAGACTGAAAACAAGATCCTTCTTCGCATTTCTTGTCAGTCCAAGAGAATTGGGACCATTACTGGAGACTATATCTGACACCTGCGGAGATCATAATCACATCATGAACGAAATAAAATATCTGAGTAACACTGAGCGCCAGACGATGGTGATGGAGGGTAAGACATGATTCAAGTTTGATGAGCAAATTATGCACAGAAAATTTCGATAAACTGCTCTACTACCTGGAAATATGGGACGACGGTAGGCGGAAAGATCAACAAGTTTGTGGAATGAGGTGCGCTTCAAGAGAAACAGGGAACTCTCGGAGAGACCAGCGTCACCATGAACCCCCATCCAAACGGCAAATTGAATTATACTGGAGACTTGAAGATAACCCAGATTCTCCTAGAAGACACTAGGAACCATGCTTGGAATAAGGGCAGAACATGACAGCTTTTGCGTGAGTCTGACCAAAATTACCCAACTAATTTTAAGAAGTCTTCAAAACTTGGGCAGTCCCCTTGTTTGGGTAATATTTTCCGGTTTGGGCAGTCTCATTGAGGCATTATTAGCACTTGTGAAATGCCGCAAAAAGATAAGGGGCATTTAACAAATACTTAAACTGCGAAGATACTGTCCTTGAATAATCCTTCAGAACAGATTCAAAAGTTATCAGGTATGAACTCATAACTATCTGAGAGCAGACTTACCAAACCTGAAAACCAGAACCCAGGATTCTTCCAGGAATAGCAGCGTGCACGTACCTGCTGAAGCCAAGGAATTATACAATTCAAAAAGCTCTGCTGATCAAGAAATCGTTTGATACAGCCCACAAGCTGAAACACAGTAGCAGCATTGAGTTGGTCCAAGACAGGGCCAGTGCAGCCCATCAACCGCACTAATAAAAGCTCATCACTGCTACCTAGGATCTCTGAGTAAGCCAAATCTAGATCGCCCCCCCGAACACTATCCATTGCTCGACTCCACAATATCCAAAATGGAGCGCCCGCAGCTCTGTTTGGCTTCTTATCAACATTGAAATCCCGACTAGCATGCTTTTGAACGGACTTCCTTTGTAAAGCAGAACCACAAACGCCCGCTGTGATTTTAGCTTTGGATGCATGCCAAACGGCTCCGGTAGATGGATCTTCCTCTCGAGGGAGAACACCTGCCCTTCTCGGTCCCTTCCCCATCCCTCCATCATTTCCATTGCCCCCATGCAGAGGACTACAATCCAGGAAATTGGGCCGCCTCAAAGTTTCTGCTGCTGATGGTATTTGGTGACTAGAAGACGAAGTTAATTCATCTGAATGCTCTGTCTTCTCCACCAAGGAATCCTGACTCCGCGCACTGCCAAGCACTGAAGTATCCTCGTCATCTTTTTCATTCTTGAAGTTAATAAAGCCACCACCGGAAAGGTATTGGCTGAGTGGATGACCACCTTGACATCTGGGTGATTCAGAAGCTGGGGAACTCCCATCTGTAGTACCAAAATTTTGAGATACATCCTCCAAGATCTGCTCCAGCCCTGCTACCCGCCCTTCTAGATCATGCATGCTGTCGTGTGCACACACCATAAAATCCTGCTCCATCAGGTATCCAAGTGGAAGCACGAACTCGTGAGTTGTGAGGATCTCGTGATTACCATACTCTACTCTTATGTAAATCAACAGTCTTCCTTAAGCCTCGTGCAAGTCCATAATAGGACCCAAAGATGGGTTAAAGACAGCAAATTAAGCTCAGTCATAAATCAGTAGAAAACAAAATATATTTAAAAATAAAAGGACTTCTATTCAAAGAGCACAGAAATTAACCTGCAGCATCTCCATCATAGAAAGCTGTTGACGTTCCAAGCTATGAAGGTGGCGGTGAATAGTTCTCATGTCCATGATTGTCCTGTCACCGTCGTTCCTTAAAGAGCCATCAACCCATGGTGATTCATACTCACAACTCTGATGCTTAATTACTTGTGGGTGTCCCCAGCTCTCAGGATTATCCGATGTGTCCCGATGCACTGCAGAATGGGGATCTTGATAACTATTACCTGCAATTCATCAATTAAGACACCAAGAGCAGCAGTGGCGATGATTACCACTTTCGAAGTCACTACATTAATCTGTTTCGGTATTATTTCACAATTCAGGAGTACATCCACTCCATCATAACAATATTTGCCAAATCACAACTTAAAAATCGTGTAATCTTATTGAAATGAAGGCAGGTGTAAATTGCTGAAGGACTAATTCTTACTTGAAATTGCCCCGTTCGCTGCTGGTTTTTTTAATTCCCCGTCCCCTTCCTGATCATAATTTAGATCCACTCCATTACCCTCCTCAAGAGTGAATGAATCACTCGCACCACATGCACGGGACGGAGTATCACATCGTTGTGCAGTCTCCACACAATTTCCGTGATAAACCAGATGCCCGCTGCTTGCAGCTTCAGCTGTCAAGCTCTCCTCCTGAGGTGAGTGACGTGGACAATCAACAAATGTTTGCCATTCGATTGAATCTCTCGCATCTTGCAGCTTCCGGAAAAAATCAGGATTGGGCTTTTTATCGCTGGAAATTGGTGTTCGCTTTCGAGGAGGAACTGCTCGTCCATTAGACATAGACCTGTTCCTTCCACATGTATCTGAAATTGAGGTAGGTAGGCCCCGCATATTATTTCTCCGATCAGATATGGAAGCGGTGGCATCTACTTCAAAACAACGAGATGGGGAGGCTGAACCACTGCTTCCAGATGTAGCAACTGCAGATTCCCCCCACATTTGCAGTGCAACTATCAGCTGTTGGTAATCTCAGATGCCTCTCCTTTAACTATTATAGTATTGACAGATCCATAGGAAGACCTTCTTTCCCATGATTACCCACCGCGACTTCTAAACAGCTACGCATATTCAGAACCTATTTTAAATTATAAAGTTTCAAAGCAGCATCTGAAAACTGGGACTAACTTGGAGGTGCATTGGGGTCATAGACAGTTTTCCATAGCTGCAATGCTTCAGTAACACTATCTCGAACAGGCTTCACCTATATCACACCAACAACGCTATCCGACACATCAACATACTCAGAACGCTTGTTTGCTGTATGAAATAAACAGCCTCGGCATTAGAGCATCACCACCTTCTGTATTTCTATCGTTTTGGAAAGACCACCGTTCCTGTGTCGCTACACGGTTAAACTAAAAATTGGGCTAAATGCAAAAAAATACAAGCATCTCTGGCCCAGGAGGATCCCACCCGTTGCATGTATCTGCAAAACAGGTTCAGCAATCCAGGAGCTGGGACTGCAATCGATTTTTCTAGCCTATTTCGGGCACAAAGAGAGGAATGCCTATGACTACATGCGTTTAACCACAAGTCCACGATTTTCACCTTATTTCTTTAGTTTCTAGATACGGATACTGCCAACTAGTGGTGACGCTCTGAAGGAGAGACTATTATTTAAAATTTTAATAGCCATAATTGAATAAAAAATAATTCCTCTTTCCGTATATTCAATCAGAAACTTGCACAGAGAATGTGTGCAACGAAGATAGTAAAAGACACGCGAGAGTACATACCTCTGCAAGTTTAGAGAAGCCGAGAAGGAAGCAATATTCACCTTATCAAACCGGTTGTTCTCTAAAGTAGCCAGTACACTTCCCCTGTAGGACCCCAAAACGCCTCCAACTGCCGTGGCCATGTTGGATAAGGTCTCAGCTGCTGCTTTCTTCACTGTCCACTCGCTGTTATCAAGCTCCTCTTGGACAGAGCCAAGCAACGAGGGTAATTGAGACATAGAAACCACTCCGGGAACCTGCACCACTGCCAATATCAAGAGAGGAAAAGAAATAGCACTAACCATGGAGAACACTAGTTCACGCAAAGTATTAAAAAGTGACGAATAAAGACGTTGAGAATGTCACGAGGCAAACGGGGCTCATCGAACTTGCAAAGTCCTGACATGTAAACAACCGGGAATCACTCTAAGTCGCCAGATGCTTAATAATTGTATCACGCAACAAAACAGGTAGACAGTCTGCACGGCTTGAGATCATCTACTACTGCAACTCTGGTTTCACAGATCCACCGCTGAATCGATCCCTAGCAACTGGACCAACACCTAAAAACCCGTGACTTGTGAATTTGATCACAGACTTCTCATCATGAAATAAAGATGTCCTCTCAAGCAAGACGATTCATAGTTAACAATGAACCAACAAATGGCGCGTGTAAGAGCATGAGTAGGTCATTGAAGGAAGAGACGAGAAAAACATAACAATAATCTGTAAACAAATCGCAACATGCCAACAATATTGTTTGACACATATTCCGGTTTAGGTGGTGAATAGATTGCAGAAGAAAACGCCAAATACATGAGAGCATAGACTACCTGGACCATGACTCCGACAACATTGAGTAGGGACGCCTTCGCCAGAAAGTTAGGGCTGCCCAGCATTTTCACAATTCGTGGACAGAGGCGGTGTAGAATATGAGGGTCCGGATCCCTTGCAGATTCTATGACTCGCGCCAAACACAGAGACGCTCCGGTCTGCAAGACTTTGTGCTGCTCCGCCAAAGCCTCCAACAAAGGTTTCACAAAGACATTGATGGTAGAGAGACCATCAAATCCGCTGACTTGCGAGGCCATAATTCCAATAGTTTCAACACAGGCGTCACGAATGTTGGAATCTGGATCCTTCAACCTCCTAACAATATTTCCCACCATCTTCGGCAGGTGGCAGGCCATCAAGTCTTTATGTAGACTGGCGAGCTTCCCGACCAGCCTGAGGCAGTCCCGTCGCACCACACTCTTCTGCTGCCCGTCCGTGTCAAACAAGCAGGCAAGAAAGAGAGCGATCCCCTCCGGAGTCAAATTGTGGGCAATTAGCTCTAGCTCTTCCATCGCCAGCTGCTCGGTATCCCGGTCAGACAGCTTGTGCAATGACACCAGAATGCGATTCTTAAGCTCTATAAACAACACACCTTTCCCTGGAATTGGCCCTCCCCCTTTCCTCCCCCACCTCGCACCCCCGCACGTCGCCATACCACAAAATCAACCAAACGAAAATTCTCTCCTCCACAATATCAATCTAAATGCCTAATCCGACCCATGCAACACAGTCCTGCTGCATCCCCACGCCATCGCTGCAATCTCCACCCAATCGAAAAACATCGATTGAATAACACATTATGAAACTCCTGACATTGTAAAATCCCTACATACATTTACTTCTCCAACAATCACCAAATCATCAACAAAAAATAAATAAAAAACAACCCGAAAGAAAAACTGAAATTAATTTTCTTATCAAACTTTTAAAAAATCAAAATTCTATACGACGTTCAACCCCTCTGATCAACTACCAAAACAGACTCAATCCGCATCACGAAATCTCATAAACGTCAACAAATGAGCCCCCGTGGCAATTACAGCCTCAGCGACGACGAGCTTAAATCAATACACAGCACACCAGTTTGAAATTCTCGGACACTCACCCGCCATTCGACGATGCAGACCGAGTAAATTGAAATAGGGGGAAACAAACACATAAACAAACAGATAATAAAAAAACAAACAAACAAACAGGCGCGGTGTGAGCAGAGCAACAAACTGGTCTGAATCAAAGCCACGCGAATGTCAGGTGGCCAGTTCAAATGGAATATTCGGCGCCACGCTCTCTTTCAAATTGACAATGGCGACCTAAGGCGGAGAACACCCACAAAGGGCGTCAATTTGTGACGATGCTCAAAGAATTGTGTATATATGTAATATAATAGTATAATACATAGTACCATGTACATAATGTATGATATGTATATATATATATATATATATATATAAAAGGAATTATTAAACCAACACCTCCATGTTATTAATGCAACATCTCCTTTTGGTTTATATATTAATTCAATCTATTCTCAAACAACCTCATTCCACCTCATGAGTTGTGTTCATGAATGTAGCTTGATGCAACATAGTTGGATCATTATGCCCCGAAATGTTGTAAAATTGATCTTATAAGAGTGGCCACAACTTGCATTGTTATTGCAATTTGGAATTGTTATTATCATTGTCATTATCATGACATGTTGCAAAAGCCTCATTGATTTTGATGCCCTCTCTCTTTCTATTTCTCTCTTTTTCTTACAAGAGAGGCGTTGCTCCTCTTGAAGCTACAACCTTTGTTGCTCATTTGATTAATCAAGCCTTTCTTTTTTTAAGATGTTCGTAGCTTAATGCACATATATTTGTTGAAATGGAGTTGTATAGCTCAAATTTGTTACCATTGTGTTAGAATTATTGTGATGTAATAAGGTAGGGTTTCATAGTTGTATAAGTAGGGTTGTGGAAGAGCCTTTAAAGGTGTAGAAAAGTTGTTTGTGCACTTGGAAGAGTAGGATTTTTATTATGTGATGAATTATTAAAAAGAATGCAGTTTACAAACATCTTGTACAAGTTTTTGCATTTAATCAGTAAGAAAGATGTAAGTATTAGTGTGGCATATATTTTGAAGTCAATATTTTGAAAAGTTACAAAGTTGCACTATGCAAGCTCGACAAGATTGCTTTCACTTTGAGTGAGGATTTAAGTGTTAGATAGTGCATTGCAAGGTGTATTTGGATTGCATTCAATTCCATCTATCATTGTTGCTATTACCAATAATAATACAACAATCAATTGCACAAGATGTTTTAAGAAGGTTGTAAATAATATGATATTTAAAACTAAGTGAAATCATTATATTAAGTAGTAAGTGATAAAATATGGTGGCAAAATATTTTATTTTTTCATTTTCTATAAACCCATCAACATTTGTTGCATATTATTTTTTCAACATGTACAAAATTTCTTTAGACATTGTGACATAAGAAATATTGTACATATCATTCCAAAAATTATCAAAAAAATTTATATATGAATTATATTTAAAAAGATTTTGGTAACTAAGACATTATATATATTATCCAAAAATGAAAGAAACTTGTTCCAATTAGTAGTTGCTATCTTTTACAACATCATATAAATTAATTTTTTTTATTATTAAAAAAATTATTTATAAAAGATTGAACTTTGTATATATAATATTTAAATTTACTTATAAATTTATATTTAAATAATATATTTTACAATAAATTTGAAATATTATATGTTTATTAATAAAATAATAAAACTATAAAAAAATAGAATATATTATATATTTATGAATAAAAAACTTCTATAATAGAAATATAAACAAAACAAATATTTAGCCATCTGAATATTATGTATAATTTAATAAAGAAATTTTTTTTTTGTCTATTGTTAAAATCTATTATTAGTATAGAATAAAAATACTAAATTATTAAATGGTAAAATATACAAGTCCAAATCTATATCTTATTCTAACTAATCATAATTTGCATTCTAATGCCATTTGTAGAATTAGGTAATTTAGATTCAAAAAGTTCAATTGCAGAGACTATCTAATTGTTACAAACATATATATATATATATATATATATATATTTACTATAATAGTTATCTATATAATATAAATAATTAGAAGTAGGTAAAATTAAATTAATTTTATAATATCTTTTAGAGAAGCTTCTTAGAAGCGTTATAGATGTAATTTCATCTTTTTACATATCTATAGGTGATTGGAAGATTAGAAATGTGGCCAATAAGTTAGCCACATGTTATACTTATAAGTAGCTTGTGATATAAGCTAACAATGTGGTGCACAAATAGAAAACTTGACTTTCAAGTAAAGACATGTATTTCACAAATTTGATATGTATTGAAGGTCTTATAGAATGTTGCTATGTAATTCTTAGATAGATAGTATATATAGAGGCAAGAGTAAAATCTGCTTTGCTCTTTTCAATGTTTTTTTGCTTCTACTTTAATTTGAAGGATCTCTAGTTTTTTTTAACTCTTGGAAATAACCATTATAGTTTCTTTTTAATGTATATATTTTTTTATTTATATTTTATCATCTTTTTTTGAAAATTCTCACTTGTTAATTTGTCTTCATCAAGTTTTTATCTTTAACAAATTAACAAGAATACACTTAAAATATTAGAGTTTTCTCTTTTTTTGATTAAAAAAAGATTGTCTTTTTTTCTTAATAGGACATAAGTATATTAAAGGTTTTGGATTATCCACTTCTAAATTGATATTATTTTTAGAATCTCTTTAGTTTTCTAATCTTTTCTTCTACTTATCTTAAAACATATTAGATTTTTTTTCAATTATATAATTATAGCAAAGCTTGTTGAAATAAAGAATGTAATAATACAAATGTAAGTGCAATTGAGGAAGTTAATCCTTGTTATGCATCAACTTAATTTACCACTACAAGAAGTAATAAGATTTGTAGGTAGTAATGATATAGATATGATTGGAGCTACTTCAATATCTATATCAAATCATCCTACTCCTCTTATGGTAGAACATTATTTAATTATTAGAAAACCAAGAATTGCCTTGTTCAAGAAGTTTAATGGTATAAAACTAAAATTTCAAAGAATCATCAATCAAATACAACTAGCAATTGAACTTCAATTCCAAAGCTATCCAATTCTAAGATTACAAGTCAAGTTTATTGATACATTTCTTTCAAATTTTGTATTATTATGGTTTTCAACTTTTTTTAAATGATGCAATCTAATATTAGATAATTTAGAGGTTTTTTTAGCAAAGTATTAATCTATATATTGAAAACATGATATAATTCATATTGCAATAAAGAAGATTCATATTTTGGCACAAAATAATTGATTTGTAATATTATATGCTTCATAATTTTAATAAATTATAATTAATTTTAAATAAAATGATGCTATATTTATTAGTCATTTTTTTTAAAATTATAATTAATTTTAAATAAAATGATGCTACATTTATTAGTCATTTTTTTTAAAATTATAATATGATGTAAAGAAATTGATGAATAATTTATTTGATCCATAAATATTAAGTCAAGCAATCAGCTTTGCTGAGAAGTGTAATAACTGACTTTTTGAATTTTTATCCAAAAGTCGTATAAGTGGGCCTCAATGTTATTTCAATTTAATAGCAACATCAACATCTCATTCAAAGAAGTGATGCAACCACAAAATAATGAATATAATTATAAAAAAAGAGAGTATATTAGAAAATTAATTTATCTAGTTATAATAGGAATTGTGCAACTCGAATCTTATGCAATACCTAATGAAGGTCCTATTTTATCTTCATAATATTTTCTTTATTTTACAATAGATGTTAGTTTAAGACCTAAATACTATAAAGCCTTTGTCTTTTTAGATTTAAGAATTTTAGCTTGTTTCTTAAATAAAGAATTTGTTAAAAGACAAATCATTTATTTAGTGAAGAAAACTAAATCTATTCATGTAGAAATTATAGATGGTTGTCTATTGTCTTTTAAAAATGTTATTCATGAAATCTTTTCTATAGAAGTAATAATTAATAGTCATAGCAGCTTTGTAATATTTAATATGATTAGATCTCTCTTTAATCTAATATTTTTAGATTTATTGTGGATAAAAAAGTATAATTTTTAAATAGATTGAATTTCTTGTAGTCTTGAATTTTTTAAAAAATATAACTAGGAGTATTATTAACCAAGTAGAAAGTCATAAGTCTAATGCAACCAAATCCGTATTAATAGGTGTAAGAGATTTCTTGTATGTTGTAAAGAAAATATCACCTTATGTTATTATACCACACCTATTTCTAATAGTAGAAAGACTTCAAATGGCATTCTAAGTCAATATGAAGATTTTCAAGATATTTTTAAAAAGAAGAATGCAAACAGTCTTTTAAAATATTATTCCTATGATTGCTTAATTGACCTTCAAGAAGTAGCTCAATTGGCATATTGACCAATTTACAATTTATTACAAAATAAATTGGCTAAATTTAAGGATTATATTAAAAAAAATATGGCCAAGAATTTGATATACCACTTCAAATCTCTAGTGGGAGGTCCAATCTTATTTATAAAGAAAAAAGATGGATCATTGTTGATGTATATTGATTATTAAGGACTCAACAAGTTTACCATGAAGAATAGGTGTCCTCTATCTTTAATATCTGGAATTTTTATTCAATTCAATCAAGCTAAGATCTATACAAAAATAGATCTATAACAAGCCTACAATTTGGTACATATCAAAGAAAGAGAGGAATGAAAGATTGTGTTTTGAATTAGGTATAGACATTTTGAATACGATATCATACCTTTTGGACTTACAAATGAACTAAAAGCTTTTCAATATCTAAATGAATTATGTCTTTTGATTGTTTTTAGATAATTTTATTATATATTATCTAGTGAACATCTTAAACTATTCTAAGAATATAAAAAAAATATGAACTTCATATTTATTGTATATTACAAAAACTAAAAGATGTAAGATTTTATGCCAAGATAAAAAATAAAAAATAAAAATAATAATAAATATATATATATATATATATATATATATATATATATATATATATTATACTATTCAAGTTGACTTCTTAAGATACATCATTTCAAATGATGAATTCATGATAGATCCTAAAAAAATTCAAATAATTATAAGTTGAAAGATTCCAAAAATAATAAAAAAATGTAATTTTTTTTTTAAGATTTTTCAATTACTATCAAATCTTCATCAAGAATTTCACTCAAATTGAAGCTATATTTATATATTTGATTTGTAAAGACAAACTTAACTAGCATAAAGAAGAGAAAGCAAGATTTGGACCTTTGAAGACAACCTTTGTTTTTGTATTAATTTTATATTGCATTAACTTTTCTAAGCTATTCTTTATAAAAACAAACACATTAAACTTTACTTTGGATGTTGTATTGTCACAAATAGGAACAAATGATAAACTTCATTCAATAGCTTTTCATTCAAGAAAATTTTCAATAGCCGAGATTAATTACGAGATATATAACAAAGAGCATTTTTCAATTATAGATTCAGTTCACAAATGGCGCTATTATCTAGAAGATAATTCTAATGTAGTCATTACGTACATTTATTACAAAAATCTCAAGGATTTTATGTCAAAAAGTATTTTGAATCATTACCAAGCTTGTTGGAGCATGCTTTTATTAAGATTTGAATTCATAATCACTTATCCACTAACAAAATTATAAGATTTGTCAAATACTCTTTGTAAACAATCTTATCTTGCACCAAAAGAAAAAAATAGATTTTTTGATTAGCAATTAATAATTTTCTTAAAACCAAAGTAATTTTATCTTTGAATAATGAAATTAATATTAAATATTAATTTAATTTTTCTTCAATAAGTTCAATCAAGTTTGTCTTCTAATTTTTTTGTGATATTAAAAAAAAAATCTTTAAAATCTCATGATACTTCTAAGTTTGAATTTAAGAATAATCTACTTTATTTCAAAGGTCACTTATATGCTCCAAAAGGTGAAGCACAATTACATGTCTTTTAAATTCATCACAACTTCTTTACAGCAAGATATTTTGAATATAACATGAATTTGAAATTAATATCTAGAAATTTTTAGTAGCCTCAAATGTGAAATCATGTGATATTTGTAAGATCAATAACTCTTCATCATTGATTTTATAGACCTCTTTAGCCATTACTTATTCCAAAACAACCACAATCTTCTATTTCTATAAATTTTATTATAAGTTTTTTAATCTCAAGTTCATATAATTTTATATTTGTAGTAGAAGATGATTGGACAATTTTTTTTTCAATAGCAAAGTTTGCCTATTATAACATGATATTTTCTTCTACTCAACAAATATATTTTTTATTAATTATGATTATCATCTACAATTTGATACTTTTGACTTTTTAAAAGTTGACAATCTTATTAAAAAAGATTTCATAAATTATTTATTTGAATTGTATACAATAATAGAAGTAAGTCTAAAAAAAGCTCAAGAACAAAAAAGATCAATATAGATGCCTATTATAAGAAAAAACTTCAATTCTATGTTGGCAATAAGGTATGATTACTTTGTCATAACATTAAGACTATTTGTCTTTGTAATAAGTTGAGTCACTATAGACTTGGACTATGTTCTATATGTGAATAAGTCAATCTAATTGCTTATTAATTACATCTATTGGAGTCTATAAAGATCCATCATGTATTTTACATGTCTTTTCTAGAGTCATATAAGATAGTGAATATATTGAAAATAAAATAAATGCCACTACCTCCTATAAAAATAAATAATAAATAAGAATTCAACGTAGAAGGAGTCTTAAACTTAAGGTGGCACCAAAATAGATTGGAATATCTTGTTTATTGGCACAATTATAATATTAGTAAATACACATAGAAGGTAGCAAAGAAACTTGAAAATGCAGTAGAAAAGATTAAAACTTTTCATCAATGACATCTATCAAAAATAAAATAGATAGTCAAGTAAATTCCTACTATAAAACAAAGGATGTTTGATGAAAATTGCATTCTATCTTCCATCCTTCATTATGAGTTTTTTGTATTTTTTGACTTTTACGAGATGGAATATCTACAACTAGCAGATTTAACTCAAGAGCCATCATTTCTTGATTAATCGAATGATACATAAAATTGTCATAGTCTTCAAGACGACATAATTGAGATAGGTCAAATATCTTTTTTTAATATCTACTTATATTGCAACTACACATACAATCCACACCACCACCACCATCATACCTTCTTTATTATCTATTTCAATTGGAAATGCTTTACCTAAAATTAATCTCATGCACCAACTTGAAACTTATCCTTGCAATTGCTACCCATGCTTGTTTTGCTTCTACATTTGTCTTTTCCTCCAACTCAAATACTAACCTCCATGCATTTCTCAACTTTACACCACTCTATACTCTTTTAGCCTTTGAACCACTTATTACACCATTTTCATTGTTTTTTGGCTTCTAACACTTTAATGCTTTTAAAATGAAATCAATAGATATATATTCTAAACTTACAACAAATCAAACTCAGCACTACAACTTCAACCACCATCCACCCACTTTTCATTAAGATCTTGTATATTGAGTAAATACAAAAGTTTATACAAGATATTTATAAATAATATTATATTTAATATTTTGTTGAATAATAAAAAATTCACTTTGCCAATTGCACAAACCTCCTTTCTACAGTTCTTGAGGCTCTTCCATAAATCCTACTCACAAAACTTCTAAATTCTATCTCATCAAATTCCAACAATTCTAATACATTGGTATCATATTTGAGCTACATGGCTCCACTTCAACAAACACAAGCTTCAAAGCAAGAGGCAATAAGTTTTGAGCATTTGAAAAAAAAAAAAAAAAAAAAAAAAAAAAAAAAATAGTTTAGTTGAACAAATACACAATGGAGTTGTAGATACAAGAAGAGCAACATTACTTTGGAGAAAGAGAAAAAGAAAGAGAAAAAAGGCAATAGAATCAGCAAGGCTTTTGTAATAGGTCAAGACAATGATAATGATGATTTCAAATTGCAATAATGGTGCAAGTTATAACAACTCTTATAAGGTCAAACTCATAACATTTTGACGCATAATGATCCAACTACAATGTATCAAGTTACATTCATGATTACAACGTATGTGGTAGAATGAAGTTGTTTGAAAACACACTAAATTAATCATAAGAATCTAAAGAAGGTGTTACATTTAACATGGAATTGTTGCTTTAGAGACTTTAATTATATATATATATATATATATATATATATATATATAATATTGTTTTTGTATAAAATATATGGACATTAATGGTTGTGCTTTGATGTAGGAAATTATTGATAAAGCCAATTATCAATAGAAGTTTATTTCAAAAGATAAATTAAAAAATTTGTCATGATATCATATTATAAGAAATGTAAAACTTAAACTTTAGCTAATAGTATTATTTTTTTATATTTTTAATTATTATTTTTTTGTAAGGATTGTTTTAATATATACTATGAAAGAATCATTGTCTCTTCTATTGAAGGATGATTGTCTTTCTTTGCAAAATTTCAATTTGTCTTTGAAGAATCTATGTTTTTATTAACAAACATGCATGATGAATATTATTTCTTGATTCTTTAGTTTGCCTTTTGTATATCTTAGTATTTCTTTATTTATTTATGCCCATTTATTTCTCTAACTCAAAGATATATAAATTTTCTCTAAAGATAAAATGAGTATTTAATGTTTTGAACCCAGGTATAACAAACACATAACATTTTTTCAAAGCACATTGCAATGCTGGTTTTTATTGTTCTGCAGATTTCATCAAAAATCCAAATTTCATTACTATTTTATTAACGGATTATGACAATACGATTGTTATAATCCGTTAAGAAAATAGTATTATGATTGTTATATCCCGTTATGAATACACTATCCTACACGTTCATTTATACATACATATATACATGCACACAAACACACATAAGACTACTGTAGAATTTAATCATATTATACATGTTTTCGAATATGTACGTATATATATATATATATATATATATCAGTTTTCATGCCGAAGTTATTCTCCTGCACCAGTTGAGGAATAAAACCTTGTGATTTGACCAACCCACGTCACCTTCGATTATGCTTCGAGTCCCTTTGATCAAACTTCAATGATGTTCGGCACAAACTACCAACATATCATATCTGTGAGACAAGGATCAAGTTCACAAGCATCACATATAAGCATGTTGATTCTCTGGTCCGGAGCAATGAATTACTTTCAACTCTGATAGGAAGTCTGCTTCATCTGCAAGGTGAAGTCTACTCTGCAGGCTTCCAATCACCTCACAAGCCCATCTCAAGCTAAGAAGTTCTGTGTACAAACAGGTCCAGCTGAACATTAAAAAACACTACACAATTGACAAAAAACTACAGGGTTGTGAACTAGAAGGTTTTAAAGCATTTGGGTTAAGATCAGTGTTGCACTGGTGTCAAGAGGTTCTGTTTACCATCGTCGACGCTGACGTTGGTGTCCATGTTAGTGTTCATTGTCATGATAACTGCAGCAACATGTCTAAGTAGAGAACGTGATTTCAACAGTCTCTTGCTACGTGTCACATAAGATTCTAGCAATGGTTAAGACCTTGTGGCTGAAAAGCCAGCCTTTCTGTTGCAGAAGAGAATCCGCCCTGTCATCGACGTACAAATTGACACCTCAAGGAGACGGCTGAACAATGACGAACAAAAGGTTCCTGGTTTGATCGTTTTGTGTTTAGCGTACCTTTTTTATTCCATATCCATCCACAGGACTAACTTCATATGAGACAGTTTCACTATAATTATTTCTCTAGGGTAAAGTAATCCAGCCGTGGAAGTGATCTCTTTTTAGAGAGGATTGATCTCCACAGCTGAAGAGGGACGGATGTGGTTGCGGTAGTCAGCTAAAGACTCATACTTCCAAAAGATGTAGCAAGGGTTGCAAGCTCCCGGATGTTTCATGTAATCAGTTTAGTAGAAGCGAATTGTGTAAATAAGTCTTCTCCTGTGATGCTTTTCAAACCGAGAGATGATGGCATCAATTTCGTCCTCCCAAGCATCTGCTTGTTCTAGCTGCACAGCACCAAGAAAACCTTTCACTGATTGAGACTGGGACGTTTTAACAGATATAAATTACTCTCAAGATTATGTGCCTTCAACAACCCTTCGTAGGAGAAAAGTCCTTACCCTTAGGCAAAAGTCAAGAGCAAGTTTGCCGCCAATAGCAGCCTCTTCGTGATTGTCTTTAACGTCCATATTGATTATCAATGCTAACTTCAGCAAATTTGTCTCTCTATTCCCAAGGTCTGTAGTGGAATAGGAAATTACGTCACAATCAGTGTGTACCTCTGGAACAGATGCAACAGCAACTGTTCCCAGACGCAAGCGTCTTGCAACACACATACAGATCCTGTTAGATGACAGAACTAGAAACTAGGATCCAACAATTCATTCGCTGACAGAATCTAATGTATGTCTTAATGGGCAGCGGGTGAGTGGAGTGTGAACGGTTTCAGAATTTTTAAAAATAGGACGTACCGTCGATCACCATGTCAAAAACTCTCTCTTCAAATGTGAACACCACATCAAAAGCGCCGTCTGCTGCGTTGTCTTGCCACCGCTGAGGTGCCTCTTTCACGCCTAAGTTACGTTTTAACATTTGCAGTAAACCATTTCGCTTGTATCTGATCATGAAGGTCAAGGGAAAGTCCCAATAACAACAAAAACTAATTTACACAAAATTTATACCATTACTCCTTGATTCAACTTATGCATCTTTTGCTGATTTATCAATACTGTACGCCAGAAACGACAGAAAACAAATGGAACACCTACTAGGTTGCCAGAATACTCCCCAAAAACAACTATCCAGCCCCAGTGGGTTTCACTCCCAAGATCATCAACTGGGTTCGTCAATGTCCACTGGAAATCATTGGATGCCAATTCAACACTCGACTGAATTTTTCAAATTTTGAAGTTCGATGGCTAGGTCCTGCACAGCACGCTTCTAAACCCTAGACTCAGACAGCGCACAGTGCGAAGTGAATTCGATCGAAACTTCAAATTTCACCTCAGCTCCGCGGATTAGAGAATAAAACCCTGAATGGCACTACCCGCGACGCCCATTTTCAAACAGGACCATCAGAACCACAGGACATTCACTTGAGTAGATTCAAAAGCCAGGGCTTTTCTGACACCCTTCGTAATAACATCCTCGACTTCAACGAACGAAGCCCACCAAACCCAAATGCAAACGAGTAGAGGATACAATTCAGGGTCTTTCTTTATCAAATCTTCAAGCATAGTTCGATACGGTGTGCCAAACGAATACACATTCGGCTCTCTCGCCGAAGGACCGGGCAATTTCACGTGAGACCCAGTTCCGTAGGAGCTCACATCCAGCCCCTGCCTCTGCAGCAGAGCATGCGCCTCCATGCTGCGGTTCTGGTTGCTGGCGCACACCATAGCATGGCGCAGCTTCATCAGCCACTGACGCCAATCTGCCCACCGAATCTAACTGCCCACTTCCTCCTCCCCCTCTCACTCTCAATCGCTTTAAGAAAAACTCACTCCTCTCACTTCACGCACAGCACGCCAGAACAAAAATTTCTTCCCCCTCCACAGCCTCCTCCTCCTCCTCCTCCTGCATCAAATCTCCACCCACTACATACCTTCCCACCAAATTTAAACTGAAATTTGCTGCTACTGAAACTGAATGTCAGACACTCACAACAAGATGATTGCCAAAGTCATATTTATTTTTCCTTGAAGAAAAAGACGAAAAATGGAAGCTATGCAGGAAGAGAGATGATTTAGCTGGAGTGAACTTCGAATCCGTAGGTGGAACAAAAACCAGCAGGAGGGGGAAGCATTTATTAAACTGGGAGCTGCTTCCAAGGCGGGGACAAAAAGCTAACACTAGGGTGGGGGGGGGGGTGTGAACCAACGCCTGGGGTTGATTCATTCAAAACTTTGGCTTGTATTCAGAAGGAAGATGAATGGAATCCTGAAGACAACGTTAGTTGTTGGAACATGATTATATAGAGACACAAATAATAAAAACTAATATGTTTTTTTTCGGGGGGTTTCAGGTTTCGTGCAGAAATTTCGTGTGATTAAGTAAACAAAGCTTTTATTTGAGAAACTATTCAATTTTGGATTTTATTGGTATTTGAGATGATTCAAAATTTTGTTGATATTTAAAATGTCACTTTGTTGGCTTATTAGACTTACAGCCTCCGTTGAATTATCTCCCTTTTTTTTTTCTGAAAATGTGATTACATTTTCCCACAATTTTGTGTTATTTGTTATATACTTTATGAAGTGCGAACATTTATGTAGTTTCAAAAAGAGATATTGTTTATGTGTATATATATATATATATATATATATAGATATACGCACACACATTCGTTTATACAAAATTTTGAACACGGTATTTTCCGAATGTAACAGTGAAAAGGTCGAAAACTTGAATGGATGTTACAGAGCAGGGTTATAGTCTTTGATTGTAAGTTTTGAGTCGGAGTTGCACTAGGACGATTTTTGAAGTTGGACAGCGTTTCCAATGTACAAATAATTCGGTGGGATTCTCTTGGCTTCTAAATGGAAACTTATCTTACTATGTTTCTCTACTTCTATACAAAAATTAACAAAATTGATGTTGAAACCATTCCTCAATTGAAAAATATTCTTCTCCAAATCTAAGGTTGGGGAACGTTCCAGGCACACTGTACACATCAGCAGCAGTGGGTTCTATTGTGCACTTGCAATCCATTCCTGCATAATCGGTTTCAATACAACAAAAATTCAGAAAAGGAAATCTACATACTATTTCATGTGTTTATCCTCAAATGATGTAGAAGATTTGAGATGAGCATATAATTGAAGATTCGTGGGGATGATGTTCATGTTGGGAGCCACTTACCTACGCACTAAATTCAGTGAAGAAAGCGTCACTTTTCTGCTCAACTGGTTCACAAGTCAAGATTGTGAAACTCTCTCTAACGCCACCAACATTACAAAGTCATTGTTCAGCAAGTACACCAAATCTTTAACAAATCCAATTTAATATGCATATCTGTAAAAACCATCCAAAAATTGAACTAGAACACTAGTAACACCTGAGATCTGGTGCGACAAATTGTCATTCTCAATTGGGATTTGCTCTGTGACGGAGTTGATACCCGAGAGAAAAAGTTTAAACTATTAATCATCATCCTCACAGGAAACAGAATAACTACACCGAATTATCGCCAGATTGGATACATCAATAGCTAAGCTATGTGATCGGAACATATTTTTTAGCGAAAATTCATCACTAACCTGAAGCTGTAGCTTTGTATGATAGCAAAGATCCAGAATAGTTGGAGCCATTTGGAACGCCTCCCTGAATAAGAACCGAAATAAAACAAGGTGAGGAAATCAGACACGAGTTATGTTGTATTCGCAAAAGCAGAATCAATCAACATACTGGAAAATTGTAGTGGGATTATTGCAGGTACTTCGACATGCCCTTTGCTTTTGTAAGCTTTCTACTTTTTTTTGATGTGGGGGTCATTAGGGTAGAACTCACCTTTTCTAATTCTGGAAATGTAATATGGTTACGCTCCGGAGTCAACAGCTCTGGATCGAGTCTGTGTTTTCTGCTCATTCACGTAAAGGAATTACAATTTAGTTAGTTATTCCAAGAGCAAGAATTTGGAATATTTGCGACAACAAAATACGTCGTGAAGGCAGATTATTAGAAGCTCAAAGGGGAAAATAAAATAAAATAAAATCTACTTACAAATGTATTGTAGTAATCGAACAAGCGACGAATTAGCATGAATATTTTGCTTTGCATTTAAGATATGAGGTGCTCTAGTGAAGTATCATTCAGAAAATTGTCCTCAAAACAATAGAATGTGAACCCAAAGTTAAGGAAATGAGACAAAATACTAACCCACAATACATAACACATTTGCCGTCTTCAAGTGGCCACATTTGACTGCGACATGCTCTGAAAATTCACAGAAACCCGACATGTGTAACGCAAAGTCAGTGCATTGAACTTGTAATTATGTATGGAGATCACCTTTACATATACTGAGCCTTTGCTCTCGAGGTAATCCCTTATCAGTCTGTAAAAATAAAATGCCACATACTGACATAAGATGGTTGGAAAGAAGCATACTGTGGCAAGCATCTCTCATGCCATGCTGCAGGGCAGCGCCTGCACTTGATCAGGCACAGAGTGGGGTCTGCCTTGTCTTCATCCAAGTTGCAGTTAGCACATTTGTGAAGGGGACAAGTGAAGGTCTCAAACTTCAGCTGGATTCGACAAGCCAAATTGTTTAATGCAACGTCTGGAACTAGGAGCTTGGCCACACAAGCAGGATGATAAAATCGCTTACATTGCCTATGCTCACATTTAAAGACCTGCATGGAGGTGCTACCACAGAGTTAGCTTTGACATGAAGGAATATTCTAGAGAGTGATTAAAAAATCATGCAAATAATAGAATCACTTGAGATTACCTGCTGGTGATCAGCTGACCCAGTGGATTTCCCAAGCTTTCCGCAGACAAAGCATTGATGCTGCCCAACTTCACAATTCGGGCAGATCCAAATCTCAACCTGCATGGAAACATGTGAACACAATACAGATATAAACGGAGTACATGCACAACTAATAAGCAATGTTCATCCATGCAAAGAAGAGTTTGGTTAGGTCCATTTTGTATGACAAAATCACGTCCATAACATAACTATGCATAAGTGCGTCAGAGAGCGAATGAGCGTACACTAACAGCGGCTCTAGTAAGGCGAAGAGTTGGACACTTGTTTTGCCACCCAGAGTCTATTGTTGGATGAAAGGATCGCATGCATGGACCATCACAGCTGCACAATCACAGAGCTGGAGGTTGTGACACACATGAACATGCGTTCGGCCTTCAAAAGATAACAATGATACAAAACTTATTCCCTCAACCGTGCAGAATTAAAAGTCTTCTTGTATAAAGAGCAGACACTCTTCGCGATAAAGAGATCGTACCAAAGGAGTCGCTCACTTCCTTCCACACCATCGTCACAGAATGCACACACATCAGGCTCGTCAACGCAATCGTCATCACTTTCGAATTTCGTACATCGCTTTGCTTTTCCGAGGTTGTGTCGAAGTGCTGTTCGTCCTGATTTTCTCTTCTTCCGCACTGGGGTAAGCCTTTTTGAAAGGGGAAGATCAGCCTCTATTGCAAATTCAGCAAGGCTGCGCATCCTCCGCATGTATTGCGAACTTGGTTCTCCTTTCAAATCATCGTGGACATGTGAAGGGAAGTCGACTTCATTTCTGGAAGTGTTCTTCCCACTGCTTAAACCTTTACGTGTAAGGGGCTCTGAAACTGATGAATAGTCCCTATTCACGTGCGAGTGTGTCTTATCTGCATTAGAGCCCTGAGTTTAACAACAAGCCTTATGTAATTCAGTAGTTAATGTCATCAAGTATAGAATACTTCCTGGTAAAGAAAATGTGCTGTGCTAAAAACGCGACAGGAAAGAAGAAAACCAAAGATGCTCAGAGTTGTCTCTATTCACGCACCTTGGCAATTTGGGATCCCCGGTTCTTAGAAAGATTTGGAAAGAACTGCGGTATGATCTGGGGACAACCAAAGTACGGAGCGAATGAGGTACGGTTAAGGCAACTTCCAGAAGGAATCCCAACACCCGTTTCATTACAATCCCTTTGCAACGGGATTAACTCATTTAAAGATGAAAAACCTATCAGCCTCTAAATCAAGGAAGACACTATTGGCGTTCAAGGATGAAGGGAAGTTTATTTTCGAAATTAACCAAACGTAATGGGAGTTATTACTCACCAAAGACTCCTGTAATTTCGGATCATTCGTCACTATTGACCTGAGCAAAAGAAAAGCTTGTGCTAGGTCTTTCTGATTTGGCTTTGCTTGAAATTCACTGCATTTACAATGCTATATCAAAATCAGCTTCTACACTAAAGGGAATAATTGTGCATCTGAAACTTATTACTACAGGCGCAATGAACATCCAAGTCCTTAGCAAAAGCCATGACTTGAAATGGAATCCCTGAAACGAAAACTAAGCCTTGCTGTCAGGCTGCCTAGGAACGAGGAGTCGATGAAGTATAATTTTGGTTTGAGTCTTTTGGTTACTCTCCTACTGCCAAAGATCAAATCATAAGTTGTTTATTGTAATGAGGGTAAAACTCTGGTTAGGATAGTAACAGGTCCAGACAAAGTATAGGCAGCACACTTAACGAATTGATTTCATAAGGAAGAAATCAATCTTCACACCCTGAGCATGGCTTACCTACACTCTTTGCGGACGTATCGCCAGACATCTCCTTTCGTAGAATTTGATTTCTGCTTGGCAAATATCAAGAAATAAGCCGCCACTACCACGACTTTCGTGGTCTCTAAGTAAAAGTCTCGCGGTTTACGCAGCTCGATCCTGATAACAGACGAATTCATACCAGGGGTCACACGAATTGTTCACATCTAGCTGTATCGCTTCGAAACTATTTGTGTCGTCACTGTAAATCCCATTCCACAGGTATTGAAATCCCCAAGTAAATTGACATTGACAAATAAATCTTCAAGAGACACAAATTCTACACCAAGCTTCAGCATGCAAGGAATGATATTCTTTTGAAATTGACTGTTTAGACTGTTGACACTAACCATGCACCAGTCACTTGATGAACCAAGATTTTAGGCTTGCCTTCCAGTGGAAGCTCTAAATTCCACACGTCGACTTCAACGGATACTTCTTGAAGCCCGTTAATCTTGCCCTGCAAGTAAAATTTCTGTCCTTGTGGTCGCTCCCATTGATAGTCATGAATGGCTAACGGCAGTTCTATGAGGGAAGGATGCTTGGAGCCAGAGCTGAGGAAGAAATCTTCCATAACCTCCACGACCGGCATCGTCCTCATCCCCTGAAAACAATAAAATTGGCTTGTGAAAAGGACGACTTGTTTGCAATTAAGAAAATTTACACAGAAATCATGAACTTATGTGCCATAGAACACGAAGGGAAATGTGAACGCGTCTTTTCAAATAAAAGGAACAGTGATCAAAGCATTTTTTCCGGATGAGGGGAAGAAATTTGCCAAACCCCAGAAATTCCACAAGCTCCTTTACATCATCACGCAATGTCATCTCATCCCTCTATCAAATCCTCTAAAGCAGACCATACGAGTTAAACAGGTTATGAATATCTTTGAGCACCAAAATGTTGAGTTGTGTAGAGATGTTCGTGCAAGGTAGCGGTCAACGAAGATGAGGTTGTAAACATGGACTGTGTAGCGACTAACACGTGTCTTACTATATATTTTTGCGATAATTCTTCAAGCCATGTATTGCACAAGACAAGAGAAGTCTGCGCCTCAAATAAGACTCAGACACCAAAACTCAACTTCCAAACCAACAGAGCACTAAGCATGGTTCTCCGAACACGAAAAAGACCATTCATGAACCAAATCAACTAGTGAACTAAACCAACCAACGTTTCGAAGGAACGCCAACAAAGATCTCCACAAAAACCAAAAAAATATGAACAAATGTAATGCTACACTTCAAGATCATGTGTGCACTCACTCGATGAACTCAACCCCAATGGTGCACCAGGACGTAAAATTTCCGACCACACGCGATTCCTCCTCTGCTCAGTTCAACTTCCGATTCAATTCACAAATATCCAAACTCCTGCATCTAAATTTAAAGTGTGTCGAGAAAAATCCGAATCCAGCTTCACAGTCCACACCCTCAAAATGTTCTCAATCCATTCAAACCCTCCCCGAACGCGTCTGGACGAAATAAAAAACACGCACACACGTCCCTGCAGCAGCAGCATAACAAATTCTATGAATAAACCGAATCAACTGGACGCACTCGCATCTATGGCAGCATTAATACCCGAAATCCTTAATTTAGAATTGCCTCGACCATGCGCGATGAGTTCACGACGATGCACAGAGACGAATGTGATCATTCATCACTGATTGATGTCGGTGTCATTTCATTCATCCAATGTTCGTCCGTTATTCATCCAACTTCTTGCCAACTTTCCTTGTGAGGAATTTATGTATTTTCTTACTTTTGCATGTTGAAAAATAAATGATTTTATTATTATTTGTGGCTGGCACCCACACTTCTTTGGTACCCACAATTCTCTGATTTCCATGGAGAAAATATATTTTCCGTAAATTTGTAGGAAAATGTGACATTTGCCGTTTAAGTGAGAATTTTTTATGTGATTTCAAATATGTGTTTCTACATTTATAATTCACTTTTTTCACTTTTTTTTTCATATTTCAGGCTTTGATTGTATTCAAATTGAATTTCGATGCAGTTCATGATCTAATAAGCACGTTTATTGCACTTGATTAACCCAAACCTGTTAGAAATTATCTAATAAAATAATACAGACCATGTTTTAGTATCCAAGCTTTTAAAATGAATTGTAGCATTAGTTCATTTTAAATATTGAAAAATTCGAGGAAAATATGATATTTCTGATTGCCATTAACACAAAATTTATTATGTACATATCGTTATTGAACTACTTTAAAAGAAAATTGTAAAACGCTTCAAAATACATTCAATGTTAAAGTCCTTGCATTAGTGGGTAAAAGTAAATAAATTAAAGTTTTTTTAAGAAAATATCTATCAATCATTCAAATGAGAAGTGATGTGCGATCACACAAAATATGTTCAGTAAATGATACAGATTACAGTTCAGATTAGACATTACCGAGCAAAAACCTACACAAGAAACTCATGCAATTATGAACTCTAGTTTTTTATTTCTATTTCTTGTAAATTTGACAAAAACAAATACAGTAATGAGAGACATATGATAATGAAGCTTGAGTTTGAGAAGTAATTTCTTCAAAAGTATAATTCTCATCCTTGCACTGTCTTTGTATGTGTGTGGTTTATTTATTTATTTATTTTTTAATTAAGATTTAATTGACTTTTCTCATGTTGGTCCTTTTTTCCACATATATACTTAGTCTATTGAAACTTTGAATCAATAAAACAAAGAAAATCATGAAGAAAAAGTTAAAATACGAAATCAATTACAAATGTGTAATTACTTTGGACTTTGAAGTTGAGCCATAAAATGTCCTACTAAATAAAACATGTGAATACAAAAAAATTAAAAAATATCTTAGAATATATCAATTTCACAAAAAACTAAATAGTTGAAATGAACCATGAAGTTTAATTACAATGAAAATCACGAGTTTAATATTAGTTTCAATAGTTTGTTTTTTTACCTCATGATTTTCATTGTAATTGCAATTTATTTTCCTGGATTTTAAATATAAAGCATATAATATAACCCAAAACTCATAAAAAGTCTATTGACTTAATGAAAATAATTAAAATATTAACACATTTCTCACATTAAGATTTTTTCCAAAAGCACCAATATTTCATATACACTATTGTAGAAAATGATTTATTAAAAAATATATGTCAGTTTTAGGATAATTAATACATCAAATTAAAATTCTGAGAATATGTTCTGATGTATGAAATTATTAGTATTTAGTAGTTTTAATTTTTGAATCGTAAATGGTTGTAATCTATCTAATGCTCATTCTATACAAAGTGTGTATAAAGCTTATCTATAGCAACATGTGATAATATGCACGTATTTCCAAAATTCAGGTGTTTAAATTGGGATTTTTCTGTTTTTTTCTTATTATGTCAATTGGAATTATTAAATTGTAAGTAGATTTTGTCCATACAATACATAAATTTCATTGCAAACTTTTTATAGATGATTTATAACAATTGAATGTTTTTACATGTAAACTTTTGGAAGAGTTATATATATATATATATATATATATATATAATCATAACATTTTCTCAATAAAAATGTAGATATATATATATATATATATATATATATATTCTAATTTCAATTATCTCACATGAGAATCTTCAAGCATCACAATTATAAAATTTGTATCTCTCAACATATACCATTAATCAATGAGAATAAGGTTAAAGCATTGCATTTGCATGTTAAAGGAGTAATTTCAAAACCTATGTATTTTGTATACATAACATTGAATCACAAAAGATTTTATGTAGGCAAAATTCTGATTCAAGGTTATAACAGTAAAAATTTGAATGGCATTTAATACATTGTTTTTCAATCTTGGACATAGATAAAAAAGATTATTTGAGTGATTTTTTTTTTTTAAGGAAAAAAAAAATGTGGATTGAAGAACAAACCATTTTTAGTTAATAAAAAATAGTGTTGTAATAATATGATTATAGTGTGTATATAAATTATTAATTATGTCAGTGTATAGTACTTATCTATTTTCAAGTATTGTTGTATTTTTGAACCATGCTAGTCCTTTACAAATTAATTAGTGTTTCTGTTCATCAGTGCTAAATCTGACTAATGTGTTGTGTGTAACATTTGAATTTGTTGATCTTTTTTGCAAAAATAAGCTTGCATGTTTATTAGAACACACATGCACAAATATAATATTGTATTTATTTATAATTTATAATAAAAATAAAAATAATACAATACAAATAACACAATACAAGCATGAACCAAACTACACACATATATATATATATATATATATATATTACTTCAATGTAAATATTGAAAATGCATAGTAGAGCTTTGTGCAATATAAATAATATAATACATAAATTACGTGTTTTTAATTTTATGTCACTAAATATATTACATCATAAATAAGTCTTTACATGAGGTATAAGATTTCATTAAAAAAAATGACAATTTACAACACTAGCTCTTTGCATGAAAATTTTAAATTATACATTTATTTTGAAATGTATTATAGTCAATTTTATTTCTTCAAAAAAAAAATACATATATATATATATATATATAGAGAGAGAGAGAGAGAGAGAGAAGAATATTAAATCGATACACCTAAATCTTAAATAAAGGTTTTCTAAGCTAAGTGACATATTCATCAATTCAAGCAAATGACTTAAAACATCCTTTTGTTGGTGGGATACCAATACTTGGTATGCAATTTTCACTATGATTAAGAAGAGCCTTAGATGTTTGAACCTTCAAGTGTTTGTGGTGCCATTGTGGTAGATCAATTTAAGATTTAGATGAGGTAATTTAATAGAAATTTGATAATAATTTATCTCCAATAAATAAATAAATATATATATATATATATGTTCACACACACACTTGTTCTCCAATCAACTTGTTTTTTTTATGTCACTTAGCAACCACATCTAACATCTGTTCACATATATCACCGTTCACACCTCGGGCAACAAACAAACAAATAACGCGTCGGTGGTGTTGTTTGAGGTGGTCCGTAAGAATGTGTGTCGTCGTTGCGAATGTCTTCAATTTGAGGAGTGCAAGCTCCATGGCAAACGTCACCAAGTCTCCGCTCGTTGAAGTGTTCGTTAGGCTGGGCTCGAAGGTCTTCCAGGGACTTGAGTTGACTGGCTTCTTTGCAGGCCGCGGCGATCGTGTCCTTTTGCTCTGCTAACTTGGTGGTGCCCCAAATTTTGCAAAATATCTTAACATCTGCTCCCTTCCCACACTCATCATGCAGATGTCGCTGCGTTGCACGGCTTGCAAATAGAGTTGGAGACATCCTAAAGGCGATAAAAACATGTAGATGGATAAGAAAGATTAAAAAAGTGTGCAGCCAAGTTGAGGACTCTCGTATGTCAGAAAGTAAGTACGGCTGGAAAATGGCAGAGGTTTGGTGTTGCTACCTGTTTTAACTTATTGCAATGGCCTTGTTTCTGAAATTCTTTTTGACACCGTGGCCGAGCGGAGATGATACTGAAGTATTCTCATTGTTAAGGATTCATTCAAACGTAGTGTCAGCATTGGAATTCCTCAGTGCAGGTCCACCGATGCAGTCTAGCAAACAGTAAAGTAGCTACAGCTAGCCTTTCGCATACAATGTCAAGCAACATAATATGCTGGGCAGATGAAAATTTCCCACTGGGTATCGGCACCAGCATGGGCTTTCTCCACTTTTCCCGAAGGACAACCTGTCACCCTGACCTGTTACACACACGGATTCATGCCCCGTCTTGTTGCGGTGTTTGCAACCTCCATGTCGACGTATGTTAATGACGATATCCCCAAGCAAGAGGCAACACTGTACACATTCCAGTGGAAAAGATACTTCTGGAAACTTCTCTGCGATTTGGAGACAGAATAGCTTGTACCTGCAACTCACCTGATACTGTAAAGTTCTCGATGCACATTAATTGTGAAGAGTAGTAGGACCAGCCATTCACATGGCGAGTTTACATTGTGCTTCATAAAGGCCTTGTGGTGGTAGTTTTGAACCAGTCAGGGAACATGCAAACGAAACAAAAGCGAAAACCCTTACATAGCCCAACCAAAGAAATCCTAAATCGAATCAGGTACACCCGATAGAAAAAACAACAAGCAGATTTTCCGAATCCGGATTGAAGACATGCACCACACAGTGCTGCAAACGGCATCAACGCAAATCACAGTCGTGTGCCTAATACATACGCCGCATGGTTTGCCAAAAGTGAAGTCAGCAATCATTATTAGGGTTTGATATCCAGGTAGAAGAAGCATTACTACCCTTTAGTACTCAATTTAGCTTGCTGGTGGAGGTGTCTTCTGGTTCAGCTCTGCATGAAATATACCAATGATGCATGATGCCAGCACAAGCTTGTAAACAAAGATTTGTACAGCCTACAGATCTCTGCATAGACTTTCAGTTGTCGCTTCAGACATAGTATTGTCTCATGGCAATGGATCTCCAAGTGTGAAACCCGCCTCTGAGCTCCAGGAGCACGGCATAGTGGTAAAAAATATCTGGCTGTCTGGATATCTTTTCAGCGTTATGGTCATGTTACTTCCTTGATTATTTTTTTTTGAATTTTGATTATTATTATTATTGTTATTATTAAATTTTAAATAAATTCTGATGAATCTGATGAATTTGGGAGCAGATTTTCTGGATGAGACAGACTACTAGAAAGAAGAGAGCTATCAAGAGGTCGGGAACGGATCGGTCCAGCCGAGGGGTGTGCGCCTTTGAAATGACCTATATTCTTTTCAGTTTGCTTCTCAGATCTTGAGTTGTTGTAGGATGCCGGATCGTGGGGCATAGATGATGGACATGGCGCTCTTGGCTACCGGGGAATGCTTCTGACGACAGCAGGTTTCGAATGAGCCGTTTCATGGGGAATTTTGCCCAAATTTGATGGTTCTAGGTGATTGTTTGGAGGGTTTGCACTTGGTTGGAGAACTTGGCCCGCGCACCTTTTGGCTGGTAGTGTCTGTAGCGGAAAGATGAGTTGGTGGTCTGGTTGTGCGGTCGTGTAGGGTTCTAAATCGTAGAAGCAGGGCTGTGGTGGAATCGCCAGTGGTATTTAGTTGGAGCCACGGAGGTATTGGACATGGGCGACGATTGTCTGGCAGTCAATGGGAGCTCCTCACAGAACGAATCGGTCTGTGTTGGGTTGCAATGCTCAGAATCTCGGTAAGATCTCGCGGTGAATTCAATGTGATTGGGATTATGTTTTTTGTTTGTCAGGATATGCATATCAATTTTTATAGAGCTTGAGATCCATGATGAAGAAGCACCGCACGTTTCTAGAAATCGTCATCTGTGTGCGTTAGCTTATAATTTAGAAACTTAGACAGAGTGTTCGAAATCCATGTTTGGGGCGCTCTTCATTCTTCATTATTGGTGTGTGGGCATCCGTAGTCTATTGGGACAGGTCGACCCCGGCTCGCATCGTGTTATGCTCCTGCTGCGCACTGGACAATTTGTTCCGTGTAATTTGAAAGGGAGCTGTTCTAGACGACGGAGTCTTGTTTACGTTATACGTACAATTTACATTTTCCGGTTTCTTCTTTAGTTTGATCTCATCCTTGATTTGTCTTTACAGAAGTTTCACAGGAGTGGAATCTTCAGAATGAAACTCTTCTCCATTTTGTTGACGAACATGTCGTTCCTTTGGTTATCATAATTCTCAATTTTATTATATAAGAATGTCGAGATAGTGTTCTTGTTTGCATTTTCATCTAGCAAATTAAGTATATTCGAACCACCCGATTTGTCAGTTCCGATTCTCACGCTCAGCTTTTACAGTCAATGCTATTCCACATCTCTCTCTCTCTCTCTCTCTCTCTCTCTCTCTCTTCCTCTCTCTCATGACAATTTGCTCATGCGTTGTGGGATCAACTGTAAGAAGTAATCTCCTCTTCAAATTGTGACGCTTGCTGTGTGGTCGAGTAGCTTCAGTAGATTCGAATAGGGTTTTGAGCGACACCAAGCATAGTCACTCGCTATTTCCTGTAAATCCAGTATGGTCGTGCTTGTATTGCGACTTATGTGTGTTTAAATACCGTCTTGCGTATCAAGGGATAGTACAGTAGTGCATACCATTGAACTAATTCAGTACAACGTACTATGGTATCTCTTGTTCTCACACGCTGTATTTCACTGACTCAGCGGTGACTTTGAGTTCAAATGTTCTGTGTATGTAAAGTGTGATCAGTTTTTGCGGATATTGATGCGTTTATAATAACCACCTGTTTATGCAGCTGTTATAAATTTTCCTTCCTTGCATTTTTCTGTTCGGTTCGGCTCTTTTTGGAGAGATAAGATATGCGCTTTTAAGAATCTTCAACTGCTCTCATTCACGTGTGTTTTTCGGGAATTAGACCATACCCTTACTCAGTGCGGAAGGCGGGAGGTTGCCCTCGTACTGATTTGAACCCAAAAACTTTCGAGAGTCCTACTACTCCTGGATTTGTCGCTGAAGCACAAAATAGCAGAAACCCGGCTTACTTGCTGTGGCCTGGCAGCGATCAGCTGCTTGGCTCATCAGACGAGAGAGCTGCCTGCTTCATTGGCCTTGAGAAATCTGGTGGAGTCATGTACAACGATGGAGTGACACCTCGTGGTCAGCAAGCGAGCACTTTACTTGAACTTATGACCATAAGAGCCTATCACAGCAAGTCGCTGAGACAATGTGGTCTAGGTACTGCATTAGGATTCAGGACCAGACGCGGGGAGCTTACATCCATTCCTGCAATCATTGTATTTGTGGCCCGCAAGGTGCATACACAATGGCTTCACGAATTGCAAGTTTTGCCATCTTCTGTGGAGGTACCCACGCTTGACCTTACACGATGTTGATCACATCTTACAATGTGTTTTGTTTGTTTCAAGGAACTTCATATACGTCAACTTTCTATTTCTCTTCATATACTATCCATCTGTATACATTTTCATCAAGGTGTATGGATTTTGGTTTTAGTTTCTGGACTGCAGTTTGCCTTGATCTTGCATCGATTTTGTCGTTGCCTATCCGAGTGAAGAGTACGCTAGCGATCATTCAGAGTAACTTCCTTCAATGATATTTCTGAATATCAATTCGTATATTTATCTGTGTTGCGTAATCCTCGGAAGCAAGTATCTTTTGTGATCCAGCTTATCGAAAGACAGGGCTGATACCTTATGAAATAGTCGTGCTAAAAGGAGCTAGTCCCATCCTCATCCTCTTTTTCATTTTTGTATACTTTCTCTTTGTAGTTCAGAAGCTAGCTTTTATTTTCATGTTGCAAGCAAGCACTTTGCCTGAGCTTCGGTATGTCTGAAAGATTCTTATCCTGAACCGACATGTTTGACGTGAATTCCTCTAGTTACTTTTGTTTCCAAGCTTAATTCCCTCGTAATTGCTTCATGTCATCTGTGAAGGGTCCTGGGGGCTTATGGTGTGATGTCGATGTCGTGGAATTTTCTTACTTCGGGGTTCCTACGATGGTGCCGAAGAAGCAATTGTCCTCGGAGATTCTAGACGGATTACGAGGAATGGATGCGACCATTGGATCAGGGACGCAGGTAATGTCAGTTTTCTTATTTTGGCTTTTGGAAGCGTGATGTATATTTAACTGATGCTGCTGGTCGATATGGTCCTTGATTGGGTGTAGGAGGTCTGCTGAATGTAGTCTGGATGAACCTATGATTCATATATTTTTGGGGATAAAATTAGGTTGTGAACAAAATATATCTCATTTGAGTATAAACTTCAATGCTTTCTGTCTCTTATTCTTTTTTCATTTTTGGATCAAAATATTAGATATCTTCTATGGCATGCGGCTTTTCGATTTGTTTTCGAACAAAAATCAAATTATTTATCACACCAAAGAATTAGGGACTCAATGAGTTCTTTAGGTTAGTAGGAGACTGAGGAACACTTTTTGAATAACTTATTTATAGCCTATATTGTTCAGTCCTTTCAATCTTGGCAATCCAAATGCCTAACGAGGAAGCCATGGTTGGGGATGACGCTACAGAACTTTATGTGTGTGGTATAGTGGTGTGGTTGATGTTTAACAACGCTTACGTCATGCCTCATCCATTCATGGTGTTGTTTTTCTCTAGTATCAATCTCACAACTCATCCAGTCTTCTCAAACGTTGGATTTTAATTGGTAAGAAGTTGCTAAGCTCATTATGTGCCAGCTTTCACGGTGGAGGATCCATTTTCATCAACTTGGTAGATATCTTTTACTAAGTTTTTGCTCCTCTTCTGTAGGTGGCAAGTCAGGAGACCTATGGCACTCTTGGAGCTTTAGTACAAAGTCAAACTGGTTTACGTCAGCTTGGTTTCATCACCAATCGTCACGTTGCTGTAGATCTGGACTACCCTTGTCAGAAGATGTTCCACCCTTTGCCTCCTAATCTTGGTCCAGGGGTGTACTTGGGTGCTGTAAAGAGAGCAACCTCTTTTGTGAAAGATGATCTTTGGTATGGCATTTTTGCTGGCATGAACCCAGGTATAAGTCCTACATTTCGTTAAGGCTCTAAATTTATGTTGTTCACTTTGATTATGTGTGTTTTCCTATGTCATTGCATATTTGAGGATTTGAGCTTGCGCATTTTTAACATACTATTCAAAATTCTTGCAGTCATAGTTTTTATTTTTATTTTTATTTTATTTTTATTTTCTCCACGCTAATCCTTTAGCATTATTTCTGAATCAGAAACATTCGTGAGAGCAGACGGGGCATTTATCCCATTCTCTGAAACTTTTGACATCTCTAAGGTGACTACCTCAATCAAAGGAATTGGATCAATGGGCGATGTTTATCGAGTCGACTTGCAATCACAAATAAGCAGTATAGTTGGCAGAAAAGTGGTGAAAGTGGGACGCAGCTCTGGAGTTACCAAGGGTGTTATCATGGGTTATGCTGTGGAATACAACGATGAGAACGGTATCTGTTTTCTAACGGACTTTCTCATCGTGGGTGAGAAAAAAAAAAATTTTGATCTGGAAGGTGACAGCGGCAGCTTGATCTTACTCTCTTCCGAGAACGAAACAGAGAAGGCGCAACCAGTAGGCTTGATCTGGGGTGGCACTGCCAATCGCGGTCGCCTCAAACTTCGGAATGAACATGGACCTGAGAACTGGACAAGTGGGGTGGATCTTGGTCGTTTGCTGGACATTCTTCAGCTGGATATCATAACAACAGATCAAAACTTACGAGGCAAGTTTCATCTGAATGTTATGCTAGCAACACAACTGTAGCTTCCGTTGTAGTTTTATCTCGATGAATGAAGATTTCCACACGTGTGCGGTGTCTTTTTTAAATTAGGTGATTCGAGTACATTATATGGTCGAGTTCCTGTAGTCTTTGTTTCTTTTTCTAGTCTGGAGTGTTGCATATTTGCAAAAGTTATCATGATGAAGTAACCTATTGTGTAAGGTTGTGAAGCACACTTTTCTTCCATTCGAGCATGTGGATAGATATTGATAGCTGAACGAAAGTTTGTTTATGCAGATGCCGTTCTGCTGCAGGAGCTAGTCGCGGCAAAAACTAGGATCGGTCCTTGTAACTGGATGGGAGCACATCCAGAAAAGGAACCAACCCCTGAACCGATTCTGAGCCCACCGTATGAAGATCTCCATCAAGTACCAGATGAAGAGGCAGAAGAACCAGAAACGTGCTCACCAGCAGCTAAAGATCTCATTAGTTATTCGTGCATAGGAAACTTCCCACTTCAGAGAGAAGACACCAGACCACCTCTCCAGCTTGCAGACGAGGATCTCAGCATGCGGCTTTCAGGACCTTCATCGAGCACTGCACATCAACATCTTTTAAACCCAAAATCTTAAAAGCGCAAAATTCCAGCTCTGATACCTTGTTTCTGGATGTACTTCCACCTTCGGGTAGTGTGAACAGAGCTTCATACCCTAGAGAAAACTTCTAGGACGTGCATGAATCATGCAGTTGGGACATCAAACCTCACAAGCTGGAATGTTGATTGTCTGCTGGTCAGATCCACTTCAAAGAAATATGTCTCGTGTAATGTGTACGCTAGAACTGGTCCTTTTCTCTTCTCTTGGGCCCCCTCATTTCCTGTTCAAAGCTCAAATGAAGACTTTGAGATATATCTTGGAAGACGAGACGAAGAACTAGGGCTGTAATGTAGGGAGCTGCATCTATTCACCGGGTTGAATTACCGCTCTCCGTCGTTTTTCTCCTCTTCTGGTTGAAATCTGATTCACATGTACCTTAATTTCCTTATATTCCGACAGGGAATCCAGATTCATTCTTTGCTATTTCGCCTCTCTGTCAGCCCCAGTTGCAGTCTATCCTTGCAACGAGTGGAGGGACCCGGTAATCAGCTCATTACCAGTTCAAACAAACCCTCAAGTCACGGGGTCTAAATCACATGAGGGTCAAAAATACACGCATACACAATCTCATTGTTTGTTTACGATTCCAAATATGCTGTATATTACAAGCCATGAAACAGCAAACTGTCTGTTGAGAATGGATAGTACAATGCAAGAACCGTTTATTGGCTAATTTCCATCCATCATTCAGAGGGAGCGTCGGATCCCCTGCAGCTTCAACTTCTTTGCGCCCTTCGCAGAAGACCAGTCGTTTGCAGGGATATAAGTTCCACACCCTTGGGGGTAGAATCAGTTTCGAGGCTGATTCAATGAAGTACACCCTATCTCGTCATCAAAACCGACTTCGTTGCTACAATCCCGAGGCGGGCAATACCGAAGAGAAAAATTGATGGATGACTGGCAAAGACCCCCCTCAATTAAACCGTCCTGTCCAGGTTCGTGCCCCTTCAATAGTTCCATTAACGACTTTACGTGCGTTTCGTTGGCGTTGAGTCGGGAAAATTACGTGGATTCTGCGGTAAATTGCTCTCACCGCATCAGTTCCACGCGGGGAACTCAATCTCTCCATGACTCTCCATGAATTTGAAAGCCCGAGATCGTCGACTGCAAATATATAGGTTTGCCTATAAGATTCACCGTGGGGGAGGGATTGGCGGATGAAAAAAACTTCATCCGTTCTTCGCATCTGACCACGCAGTGGCGCCTGTTGGCTCGCGAAGCCTGTCCTGACCGCCTCATCGAGTCCGCTGCTGGCAAGGACGATTACCCCTTAATTCTTTCCTTATGATCTAGAAACCAAATAGCAGAATTGCCTTTTCTTTCTCAATGGGGTCAAATTGAATCCCTGCGTCATGTGATACCTTTCAGGAAAAGAAAACTCATCCATTCTTTGGCCACGATGAACGAATGTCATCCGACAGCGTCAGCTTGTCCTCAACCTTTGGAACAAGCAGACTGCCTCAGTTACTTTAAAGTTGAGACCAACAGCATCCCTCCTTTTCCGAACAGAATCTTATCATCCATCCAGGGATCGTTTTCCATTGCCTTTTGTTTTTTTGGATGAGCACTGGCAGGGAAAGTATGACGTGGCACTGTGTGCTTATCCATTCACGATGGGAGTAGTTGCTAATTTTAAAGCGCCGACTCGTCACACAACCAAGCAGCTGATCCACATTCTTTGGATGCATGTAATACTGTATCTCATTCATCGGGCCCTATCTTACATCCTCAACAAGGGATTGTCTCTGGACCGCACGATGGGGACCGATCTGACTGTGTTCGTGAGCTACATCAATATGGAGGCCCACGTTCTATCTTTATATACGTCTTCACATTTTTAATTTCATTTTAACTTTTTAATTTTTTTTCAAAAAGTGCTTTCAGACCTGCCCGAACCCCTGGAAGTGGATGAATTTTCACTATGAAAGCGCCTCCATGATACATCCATCCTAGGTTGGAGTTGGTGCTGTCGTACTCTATTACTGGATGGTCGATTTCTAATCAGAGTAGTGGTGATTGAGTAGCTTAGTTTCCGCGGAAAGGAAATGACGGGGTTACGATGCCATGTTAGACTCCCTCATAAAAAGGCGAAGGCATCCCTAAACCTCTTGTCTGCACTCTTGCGCTATCGTCTGCTTAGTTGCGCCCGTCTAGATCGATCGTCACCGCGTCATTGCGTGTCTGTATGGTAGAATTTGGAAGGCTAATCGTGTTTAACTGAACGCGTTTCTAACTGCCCTTGGGGCGGATCGTTTTAGAACTTTGTCGGAGCTCGAATTGCGGTTTTCTTGAAGAGTATAGGTGGTTAGTGAGGATTTAGTGGTCGAGGTAGAGTTGTGGCGGTTAGCATATTGATCAGCATCAGTACACTGCGAAAGTGGAACGTCTTGGAGCCATGGCGACGGAACTACACCCCGTTTCGACTCTGAACCCCAATGCGCCCCTATTCGTACCAGCAGCGTTTCGTATAGTGGAAGACTTCTCTAACGAGTGGTGGAGCCTGGTTCAGACGTGCCCTGACTTCCGGGAGCAGTGGGTGAGAGAGCGCTTGCCTGCATTGGAAGAACAACAAAGGTTTGAAGCAGACTTGGAGGAGATCGCCGATCTTGACAACTTCCTCGAGTTGCAGGAGGAAATGGAAGAACAGGCGGCTGCGGCAGAGTCACTGTACTTTGACGACCACGATCGTAAGTTCGCGCTCTTAATCATTGTATTACAGGTGGTTTCATCTTGTAGACGTATTTTCACTTCTGTCTTGAGCATACTTATGTCGCCCGTGCAGACCCTGCTATCGTGCCTGTGTGCATTGAGAGTTGTGTTGAGCGCCCATCGCTCGAGTTCTGTTTGAACGTGTACTGTTTCTCCGCTTAGATGTCTGTAGTCGCAACTTCTCTCAGTGCTGTGACCTTTAGTGGTTAGTGGTCGCCATGCTACCTTTGAAGCGTTGATTGAAATGTATATGTAATAGTTATCTTGGGAGGTTGTATTCCAGTTTTGTTAGATGCTTGGTGACGGCCGCGAGCACACTGTTTACTTCTGTGTGTGTGGCATGATGGTTACGTAGGTTTGCTCGAGGATGACCTGAGCGTAATAAATGTCGTCCAGATCATGGACGTGAAGGTGAACCATAAGCAGCAAGCGCCATGGAATAGGGGTTTGAAAAATCATGACAAGTTTTCATACAAGGTGCCGAACTCCGCCAAGAAAGGAGCCACATATCGTATCCAGCAGCCACGTGCAGCATCTGTAATGTAGAGGATTCAAATCGAAGAGCTGGATGTTGTAGGTCTGTTAGTTGTATAGTTTCAGGATGCAAAATCGGTGGAGTGGCTTGTACATTGAGACTTGCAAAGCCGGTCCCGTATCGATCGTTTGACGCAGTTTGTACAAATTGTATCCTCGCCCCTGCTGGAACTCGTTCGACGATGCTTTCTGGCACTGAGCAGAATTTTTTACACTAAAAAGGAAAATATATTGAATTTTTGTCATTTTCCTGCAACTATTTTGAGTAAAGCTAGCTGTAGAGAAGCATCTTTGCACTGTTTGGAGCATGCCCTCGGTTGAATAACTGCACCTCATTGGATAATTTCGATGTAACAACTATGGTTAGGATGAGTATTAGTGTCATGTGTGTGTTGATCACTTTTACTTTCTTAAGTTTTCTAACCTTCAATAGGAGCAGATTTTGTTGGTTTAGTTGGTCTTTCGTTTCTCTTAAAGAGAAGCGAGTATTAGGAGTGTTACAAAAGACCGATTAATGCACCCGATGTATCTTTTCAATCTTAGTGTACTTGCTTTAGTTGCACATTTTACATCCGCAGGCACTGCTGTACACAGGCCTGCAAGAAATATCGGAGATTCTGGCAGTCCTGTTTTCCGAATCTGGGTTTTGTGCACCCTGAAAAAAGCTGCTCACGCAGCGTGAGGTAATGATAGTGCTCCCACTTGTCGTTGTACGCACCTGATCTGATAAGGTCGAGTCAGAATGTGGGACTGTGTCAGTAAACTCACCAGTGATATTTCTCCAAGGTGGCATTCCCTTCAGCAGTTTATTTCATGTTAGCTGCCGAGATCACTTTCCTTCACATTTTACAGTATCTTGGCAAGTAATAGATATGCGTCCTCAGGACAGATTTCAGGCTAGCATTAGCATCGACCGCACTAGTTCTTTATGATCGTTGTTTCATTGTCCTGTTGTGGAAAGAAATTTCCATGAAGCTGCAGTGAGCTTTTTGAACAGTTCTCACACTGCATTCCGTGTGAGGAATGCTGGTCAACTGGTGCTTTCAGAGTGGCTTGATTATTCTGGGTGTTGCACAAGTTTTACGGATGGATGGATCATATAGGTGGATGATTTACAGGATGATATTTACTGCGGTTGCATAGGAGATTGTTGGAATTTTTTTGTCCTTTATTGTCCGCGGAGTCTTGGAATGTTTGTGTCGTCATTTGCAGTACTCCGTGTATGTTGTAAGCAAAGTGCTGTTCACTTTGCCAAATGGTCCTACTCTGCAAATTGATTTTTATCTTCTATATCCTTTTTTAAAAAAAAAAAATAGATTGATCAATGTTAATCAGGGAGCATAAATGTGAGTAAAGTACCCGTTCACATAAAAAGCGAGATCAAACTGAATAAAATTCACGTGTGACGACTTTATTTTTGTATTGTTGTGTGTAGGAGCAACATTCTAAAGAGGATGATTCTTTTGCTGCTTAAAACTGATATTACAATTTCAGAACTCGAATTTGTGGAAAACCATATGAATGGACAATTCTACATTTACGGTCTTATTAGAGTGCTCACTCAATGTTCAAACAAATTTCTACCATCTAGAGCTTGTCAACTCTGTCCAGAATCTACATAACTCATGCCTGGTTCCACTACATAAATTGTCTATATCTCGGTTATTTTCACTCGATCAAATCTGATTGGCACCTACAGGGTTCCTATTAAACATCTCTTCAACACGGAATCACACCACATGCCGGATTTCAGCTGCCACGCAGCATATCAAGTATGTTTATTAAAACTATGGCAAGTTGCTGGGAAGATCAAGTCTGAGGGTGCAGTATCAAGAGAAAGCACAGGTGGAGACTATCATTAACTCGCAAGAGACCCAATGACCCACTCTGTGATGATCTGCTATCACCAATCAATGCGATCAAAAGAAAGTTAAATTCAAAGAGCCTAGCTATAGGCGAATTTAGCTGAGATTACCACCTGGTATTTTCTGTCGCCCTGACGTCAAATATATTCGAAAGCAAAAATGCATAACCTTCGTTTCAGCTTAATACTTCAACTGTGCTGTACTTTGTTGAAATAATTCGAGACGAGTTTTAATCTGGAGAAGAATGACCCAACTTCACGTTCCGATCTCCCTTGGAACAATCAGTACGATTAAATTGTTTCATCTTCTTCACGTGAAGCTCATTCGTGAAGAGTGAAACCTGTAATAAAGAATGAGCACGAATGATCAGTACGAGCGTCGTTGTTACTCGCTGAAAAATCTGAGGAACTCTGCACAAGAGACGGAAGCGATACTTGAAAATGATCTGAAAATTGGATCCAGAATTTACTTCTACGTCATTTGTGCAGATCGTAACTGATACAGACGTATTGATTTGAGCATTCGAGAAATGCGTTCCAAGGGATTTTAAAAAATTACATAATTACCACTTCTTTGTTGCAATAACTGTCAACATTGCTCAGAATCTCTCAGAATTGGTTGGCTGGAGGTTATTAAAAAGCATTGATGTCGCGACAGTCGTCCGAAATCTCCTGTTGAACCACAAAGTCGTCTAGATTGTGAAGCATCTCACATTTATAAAACCTACTCAACAACGGGCCGATCTCGAATGAAAACCCGATATTGAGACTTTTGACACAATGAAGCTCAGGAAACTCTACCGCGTAGCAAGTAGGTAATACGAGGGTAGTTGCACGAAGCAAACATTAAGTCCATCAGCAGTAAATGTTCAATCACAGGAGTAGTGGTAGAGATTACAAACTCGCCTAATCCTCGAGCTCGCGGTCACCGCGGGAGAGGAACCACTGTGGTGGAACTGTCAAGCAGATTAGGATTTAATCAAGGGTTAGCCACTAATCCTCCGACTGGTACTCTGAGCAACCAGGAAGTTAGGTTTGATCATGGCGTCGCACGCGGATGTACTAAGGACAAGATTGGCACATGCGCTGGTCGACCCCACCGCATCTGAAGGTGCCCGCACAGTAGAACAATCATGAAGAGGCGGCACGGTGGAACCCGAGCTGATTGCGCCTACTGCCAACCTTGGTAAATTTGCGGCCATTCACCCAACTTGAGCCAGTCCAGGTGAGAAACTCCCCGATGGGTTTAGTAGTTGTAAGGCGTTTTCGCTAAATACGAAAGCCGTCGGGGTGCAGCTATACGAGGAAAATATTAAGAAGGAGATGGATTATTTACACCTGTGCGTGGTATTTAGCACAGGAGGCAAAGCAGCACCGAAACTGCTACAGTGTAGGCCATTTGAAAGCAAAAGTGTAAGAGGTACTCCAATTATGGTGCGACCTAGGTCATGGTTTGAAATGTCTCGTGTCAATTTGCATAGGTCTTGATAAATAAGTTTCTACAAACTTAGAAGTTATTGCCATAATTTGATTTATATCTCTTCAACCAAACCTTTGTTCTTGGTGTCTTTTAAAGAATCAATTGTTACATGTAATGGCTTCAACAATAAATTGCTCCAATGAGTCTATTCTCACCATTATTAACAATAGATCTTTGACATTGTCTTTCAATCCGTATCAAAATTAATTGATAAGAGTTTTGTTATTCCAATCCATGTTACAAGCAAGGTTTTAGAATTTTGTAGCATATATGGTGGCTGAACATGATTTATATTGTAAAAATAGGAGTTTGGTTTCTATTACCGTTTCTAATCATTTTCTTCAAAAGTAGCCATTAAGACTTCTAAAAATAAATATAGATCATAAAAGAATTAAGAATCTTTTTCTATCAAATATACAAATCAAGAAAGAGCACTTTCAAATAGAAATATATATATAAATTCAACTTGAGTAAATCCATGAGGGAATTGGAAAGGATACAACCTTAGAAAGAACTTTATTTATTGTAGAAATCCTCAAAACTTTAATCTTGTTTTATCAAAAAAAATTGGCATACTTATCTTTTTTTTCCTCATGTCTTGATAACTCACATTAAATATATCAAGGTATAGATAAGCTAATTTTATAAATGATTAGAACCATGGAAGTTTCTAGAATTTGGAGTTATGTTAGTGGACCAAGTAGGATCCACCATGGAACATTCCAAAAAGAATTTAAGGCAGTTATTTAGATGGGACCTACCATAGAACCTTCTAGAAAAGACTTAGGATGATTATCCAGGTGGAATCTGCTACCAAAGAATATTTTAGAAAGTCTAGGGTGGTAAGATAAGGTATAAATAGGATTGGCTAAGATCTTTTGGGCATCTTGTCAGATATGGCTTCGGTCCCTTTTTCTTAGTAAAATTTGGTTTTGTATCTTTTTATTTAATTTTATTTTGTCCTATTTCCATTTGCTCATTTTGTCTTTCATATTCTATTCAATTTATTTTTGTTCAATTTTGTTCTGATTTATTTTGTTCTATTTTGTGATGAGGCTTTATATTATTGTAGTGTAAAAGGAACTTGGACTTTTGAGATAATATGGTCATGTTTTATTCATATCAAAGCGAGTGATAGACTGTTTACTTTTGATAGCATGTCAATAGTCATCATCTAATTTAAAGTCACTTGTTGAGGTGACACTGGATATTGTATTGAGATTACTACAAGCTACTCTTGAAAAGTCAATTGGGAGGTGAAAATGCATTTTAATAGTAGAGTCCAATGGAGAAACTTTAGTATGGAAGATATGGCTGAGCAATCCTAGATAGAGGCTTAAATACAACACCTCTTAAGCCAAATAGCTACTTTATAAGGGCCAATAAAAGCCTTGAGGACAAGAAAGTTGACATCTACTAGGTTAAAATTGAGTAAGCCTACTACATATTCAAGGACTTCAAGACAAGAAGATGTATGTTAAAGGCTCTTCAACATGCAACAATACATCCAACTATCTCAAGCAAATATCACTAAAGAAATTATATATGCAACTGTCAAAGACAAAAACTTAATAAAAATAAATAAGTAAGTGAGATTTTTCTCAAAGAAAGATGATAAAATAGAAATAAATAAATATGTATATTAAGAAAGAAACTGGAATGGCTATTGCCAAAAGATAAGAAAACTAGAGATCCTTGAAACTAGACTAGAAGCAAGAAAGGAATTGACAAGAATAAAGAAGGCTTCATTCTTGCCTCTATATATACTATCTACCTAAGAGCTACGTGGCGACGTTCTATAGGACCTCCAAAAACGTGTTAACTTTGCACAATACGTATCTTAACTTGCAAGGTAAGTTTATTATGTGGGCGCCACATAATTAGCTTGTTCTACAAGCTACCAACATATATGGCACGTGGTTAATTTATTGACCAAGTTTC